TGAACTTGCAAAAAGGACATAATAGACTCTTTTAACCAGAGCTCAATTACTTAAAATGTACTGTGATGTTCAAAGGACAGGATTAGAATAGAATCCTTGCATACAAGTAAGAAGCAACACTGCTGATAAGTTCAAATTTTTGTGTTGTTATATAAATAGAAAAAATGAATAATCCTTAAGGTTTACTGACTGCAAAGCTTCAAGGTGTCCTCTCCACACAATTACCTTGATCCTTACTCTGCAATGACTAACTGGAGCTTTGAGTGAAAGTGACATTTTATTAGAATGGGAATCTAAGAGGTGCTTGTCTAAATGAAATGTCTAAACTTTTTTTTTTTTTTTTTACAGTGATACAGTTACTTTGACAGAAGGTTAAAGGTAAATGAGAATGCAGTATGATAATAAACAATTCAGCGAGGCAATATTGAAATTTTTCTATTTTATCTTTTTTTTTTTGCACAGCTTTTCGAGAACATTTCCTATTACACTCACTGGCCACTTTAGGTACATCCCACCTAGTTAGATCCATTTTGCCTTCAGAACCTCCTTAATCTTCATTGACAGAGACTTAGCATGGTGCGAATATGAACCATATTTTGGTCCACACTGAGAAGACAACTTTCATAGAAGTACACAGAATTTAATGACATCTTAAGAAAACTGACTTGATTGGAAATTTTTAACATTTCTCATTGTATTGCTGGTAGCAGCCATTACATGAGGGCTATATTGTGGTTTTAGTAGAATGGACATAATCAGCTAAGCTAAAGATGGAGGCCGTGTCATGATCTGCTGTGGTAGCTGACCTTAATTACTCATGCCTTTCACCTGCTTCACTCTTTCCAGCTAATTATCACTTATCTCATCCACCTGCCAGTTTCCCTTATATTGGGCTCAGTTCCATCTATAATGGCCAGATCATTATTTGTTTTTTTGTTCAGTCGGTCTGTTCAGTTTATGCTAAGGTTCTTTTCCTGGATCCTGGCGGCCAGTGGAAAGAGGGTTTTTGTGTCTGTCTCTTCTCCTGCTTGTCCACTGTTCCTCCCCTGCTGAGTCCTCTGGGTTATTGGCTCTTTACGCAGGGAGGATCAGCTTTTATTCCAGTAAGCCTGGCTCCAAGCTGGAGACCAGTTTAAAGGTCCTGCTCAAGTTCTAGTTCCATGTTCCTGTCTCGGCTACCCACTTCCACTGAGCCTGCCCGTCTGCACCTGATCCTGTCTGCTCCTGTGCGTGTCCGCTTGGTAACGCTTCTGGAATCTGAACCTTCAATCCAGCGGCATGATCGCGCCCCTTTCTAGGGAGATGGACTGGACTGTTGAAGGTAAGTGACTCACTGAGATCATTATCTTCTGTCAGATGATTGTGGTCACCCTCCTGTGTTTCTTCCATCAGAGTGTCTGATATTGGGTGGTGCACCGCCCCCTTTTTTGTAGCATCCGCGAGCAGCAGATCCTAGCAGCTCCACTTTAGTTTTGTTTGTTTTCATTTAATAAATGTTTTTAACTTTCCTACTGACTGTCTCACCTTGAATACTGGGTCCATCTGTCCCGTTTTATGACAGGCCGGGGTATTTAAATGACACTCGGTTGGTATACAAGGGGAGCCAAAATGGGCTACGAAAATATTTCTTACACCAGGGGTCTCTAACCCTGGTCCTCGAGACCCCTGCCCTACACAATTACACCATTAACCAAAACCGGTGATGCAATGCAAGACAAATCCAGCTTTTGTTTACTCCAAATCCTTATCCTAAAATCTAGTCAACATATTTCCAGTACATAACTAATTTTGTTGGGCCTTTGTGAATTGAAGGCTAAGATTCCTGTTCTTTGCTAAGGAAAGTGGCAATTGATGTGATCCTTTACAGCCCATTTGCTTTAAAGTAAGACGTTGGGATTCTGCGCAACTTAGTTTTAACAAGTGGTTATTTCAACTGATTTATTTAGACTTTAGTGGTATTTAAAAAATGCTATACAGGAAATGGGAGAAGAGAGAAGTGGAATGACATGCAGCAATGGCTCCTTTGAGGATTGAGGCCTCAGAACATGGATACATGCTTTCATCCATGCCCAACAAGTTGTTATCTGAGCTACTGTTACTTTAACATCATCTAAAACCAGTTTGGCTATTCTCTGACCTCTAAGGTCAACAAAGAATTAACATCCACACAACTGCCGCTCAGTTGAGCGATTCTCTCTCCTTTTTTTGTTTTGTTACAATTCTCTGTTATGAAAGCCTGTTTACTTTGAAAGCCTCTTGCATCCACTTCTTTTGCTGTTCTTTTTCCTTAAACCTTCTGCAAGTGGTCTTCAACATGTCTGACTGCATTGTGATTTGCTATTAGTGTTAACAAGATATTTTATCAGTGTACCTCTTGAATTGGCTGGAGATTATTTAACCACAATGAGCTACTGAGTAAATGATATTAAAAAAAGGTTGGATTAGGCTGACAGAGACTTCTCAGTGGGAATATCCTATTATCACCATTTCTAAGACAACATTGCTTTAATTCTCTGAGATTTTCAGCTGTACTTGTCTTTATTGACTCTTCTCATTAGAGTTGAGTCAGGGGGTGAATACAGTGTCAGCCTCTGCAGCTCTGCAGCTGCATGAGCCACTGTAAAAGGGTAAAAAGGCAGTCTTTGCCAAAGGATCACTTTGGCAAAGACTGGTACCCCAGAGATTGGCGCAGTGATGATGTTACACAGAGCAGGGCTGGGCTATGTCGTGTACTCTGGGTCACCAGACACCGAGACTATACTTTGCTTTAACAATTTCTTAATTATGCCTTCTTCTTTTTATTGCAAAACTGCAGTCCCACATATTGTTGTCAATGGAGGCTGATTTCACTGCAAGGCTGAAGGCTTCAGCTCTCGTCACTAGCGTGGCGGATCTGCCAGGCTGCTGTGTTGTTTATTCAGGTGTGTCAAAGACCCGCTGTGACATCATCACATTCACCTATGTGTGAATTAAAGTATGCTTGGCCAGGGTCAAATTGAGCCAGGACTCCATTGAAAAAAATGTGCTAGGGCCAGCTGATGGGTTCAAACAGGTGTAAGCAAGCGAGCTACATAAGAAATAAGTGAAAAGGGTGAAAAGGTGTAGCGTTTCTTTCTTATTCATCCACTCAGGCATTCTTCATGTGCGTAAAACTCACCACGTGTGGGAGGAAGCCTTTTCCAAGCCCACATGAATCAACCACAAATAGCCACTTGCTTACGCAAAAATCAATCCACGTCGTTTCAGATGAGTTAGATGGACAAATTAAGAATGAGAAAACTGATAGAGGAAGCACATTATGTGCATCATGAACTGCAGAGTACCGCTGGTTATCTGTTATTAATGAAATATAATTGCATCATGCTGATTCCACATTCAAGAGGATTACTAACAGGCCCCAGGGAAGCAATAACTCCATGTTTAAGGCAGCACATGCTATTTCCTTTAAAATGTAAGCCTGAATTGGAGGAGGGGTATCACCACCTACAGCCTGGCATTGACCAGTCATCAGTTTAGTATAGGAGAAAGGGCGGTGGGGTTTCCAGTGCTGTCAGAATGTATGCATCATAATATAAAATCTGTATGCCTCATAGACAAGACCCATGTTTCTCCAATAAAACCATCAGGGCAGCAGGCACAAGCTGAGATAAGACAACAAATACGCTTAGGCTGGCATCATGGACCACACATGCATGCGGATTCAGTGATGCTGCCAAACATGTCCTATCCATGGAGCTTGACTGCAGCCAGAAATGCGTAAATAAGGGAAAGCTTCTCACATCAATGCAATATAAAGAAAAATGAAATAGCCCACTACTTTGATCCACGTCAGCGCTATGCTACAGGCATCTTTATCATATCTGTGGAGGACGCGCAGGCACAGCAGCCGCTCACAGACGCTCATATGGCACATTGGTTTTCAATTTGCAGGCGCTGCGATTTACTGTTTCAGTCCATATTGGGAGCGTATGCGCTAATTGTCCAGGGCTGTTCTGACATCCCAGCAGGCATGTGCATCTTCCTTTCAACACAAAAATAAATAAATAAAATAAAATAAAAAGCATAAAAGCATTGCAATATATGGAAAAATAATGCGATGCTGATCCTACCTGTGCCGTGAGTCAATTCGAGACCCGGTTCCGTGAGTATGTTCGGGTCACTTTGAGATCTGCCTCGCTGCAGACAGCCGTCTAGTCCATCTGATGTAGCCATGAAGAAGACAGCGCAGGAATCCTGAATAAAATATATATTAGAAAAAAACAAAAACCAAGCGAGGCAAGCGAGGTCAGGAGGAAAACCAGCAAGCAGTGGAAAGGAGAGGGAGGGGGGAGATTTAATTCGCTCTGACAACAGCCGCTTGGAGCATCTACGAGGGAGCCATGGCTGGGCTGAAATTCACCGCGTGTGCATGTCTGTGTGTGCGCGTGCGATGCGCGAGCGCGCGCGTCTGGGCTGCGTGTGATGATGTGTGGTGGCCGACTAGGGTGAGGGGGGGGCAGTGGTACCAGCGGGGCTGATGAGGATGATGTCCATCCCCTTACAGCAACACTATCAAATATTCAGCACAAAGCATGATTCTGTATTGATGGTTTATGGGTCCAAAGGTTAAAGTCATATTTAACTGATGTCTCAATGTTGTTGTTGCTCTTAGTTTCAAAATTCGTATGTGAACAAAAGTGGATAAAATTAATAATTAAAAATTTAGGTCGTCTGTAGATAATTTCATATTTACATATTATTATAGTAATGATGATAGAAATAGTGATGAAAAAACACCATCTCTAGATATTCAATCTTTCTTTTATCTTTAATATTCTAATAAAATAGCTTAGATATTTAATGATGAACAGTATACACCAACAGGCATTTTCAAAAGGCCATTACAGGAACACAATACGGTCCTCCACATAAAATAATTTGCTTAAAACAAAGCATATCTATGTCATAATCACGTGGCTTATAATGAGAAGTGTCTATTGGCTGGTTCCGTATGTGACGTCAAAACGCGGAAGTAAATCCCCTCCGGTAGAGATATGGCAGCGTACAGGTGCAGTCTTTGCGCTCGGTTACTTCTTTTATTAATTTTGTTGTTATACGCGTTGGTACACAGTGAAGAAATAAAACAGGGTAATATTCACCATGTTAGCGGGGTTAATAAACCCCAAACACCCGCTGAAACAGTGGAGCGACCGCTAGAAGAGAGGCAGTGGGAAGCAACCGAGGTAAACGAAGCAGTTTCCAGTGATGCTGCTGCACATTTACTGGACTACCCCGGTCCCGATTCCGTCCTGACATCAACACCGCAGCTTAAAGATGACTTCAGAGAGGAGTTAGTCATTAGACCGCTTCATTCAGGAGATATTTATGCTAGCTTCCAGTTCCGCACAGTGTGGGAAACAGATTTCACCAGAGGAAGTAAAGGTAAGCAGCTGGTCCTTCAGCTTTGGTGCTGCCAGAATGTCATAACTTCCGGACAAGAGGATACAATTTTATCTATTAGGACCATAGTCTTCATCTTGACATTTGCTTACATTAATTTGTTTTGTACTCAAGCTTTAAAGTGTCAAACAGAGTCTAGTTATGTCAGCAAGGCTGATTTTGTTGCATCAGTTTGGTGCATTAATAACAGACTGGGTAATATAGGCATGCATTCATTTAGACTTTTGAGATATTAGGAAAAATAGTAAAACTAAAATTTTCAGTCAGAAAAATCAAGATTAAACTAGTTGAGGATTTTTGTATGATTAATTTAGTACAACTATGATTATTAAAGACTGCAAAACAAATGCCTCTTAGCAAATTTCATGTGATATTAAAGCTTTTTATTCCTAATTCTATTTATGTGGTTCTATCTCTTAGTCTCCCACTACAGGCTATTCCCCAAATCTCTGGGTCAGGTCATCTCCAAGTTCTCAGTGCGAGAGCTGCACATCTCCTTCACACAGGGTTACTGGAGAACCATGCAGTGGGGCCAGCCCTATCTCCCCTCCCCTCCAGGAGCTGAACTCTGGGTTTGGTTCCAGGACACTGTTACAGAGTAAGTGCTGCCATCTGTTGGCTGCAGACTGTTATGAATTGTTTTATCTGGAATAGATTTCTGAAATAGAATAACTGTTTTTATTTGCTAAATTACCAGTAAGGTTTCTGCTGCGTTCTACGTGTCTGTCAGTCATCGCAACATTTTTCTGTCTTTTTTTCTGCCCTTTTAGTGTGGATGCCACATGGAAGGAGTTGACAAACGTTTTGTCAGGCATCTTCTGTGCTTCGCTGAACTTCATAGACTCTACCAACACTGTTCAGCCCAGTGCTTCCTTCAAACCATTGGGAACTGCCAATGGTATGGCAGATATTTTTCAGCCTCAGCTTTTGTATATCCATTCCGTAAAAATTCAAAAAATATCCACTGGACTTGGTTTTCAAGATTTGAAGACGTTTCGCCACCTCTCCAGGAAGCTTTCTCAATTCAAATGTCTGACATTTGAATTGAGAAAGCTTCCTGGAGAGGTGGCGAAACGTCTTCAAATCTTGAAAACCAAGTCCAGTGGATATTTTTTGAATTTTTACGGAATGACTATGACCTGGATGACTGAGAACCTTCATCAGCATACAGCTTTTGTATAGTTTTCCAGTAAAACTGATGGTGTCTATGTTTAGATATGGTCTCTTTGGTTCTTCTGTAATCTCACATACAGTAAAAACATGTGATATGGTGTTAGGCTCCCAGTTATGTCGACAGGCAAACGCCACCCCCGGCTGAGGCATATGTTGGAAAGCACCACAAGCTCTAAGGAAGCGTTATCACTGTGACATTCTGGTTACATCCAGGCATGCACAGCAGATCAAGAATCACCTAAGAAACATACATGAAATGAGACAAATCAAATTTACACACAAGGAAGGAAGAAATAAATCTATAGTTTACTGGTTATTAGCATACCTTTGACACAAAAGTAAAACTTTACAAGAAACTAACATAGATAAATGTAATATCTGTTAAGGACACCAGAATACCCCACTGTACACAAAATATCAGTTGTAACAAGACTACAGGAATGAGCAAAATGGATGAAATGTACAAGTAAAAATGAGGAAAACTCAGCCATAACAAAACCATCTCAGATGTCATTTAGTCACAATGGGCACCAGGTGGAACAGATCATATTCAAATAGGGTAGCAAAAAGGAACTGTTAGCAACAGAAAACAAATAAATGCTCAAACTACCATAAATCAGAGGAATCCATAGGCGAGAAGTGGACATCACATTTGCGACAATGTTGACCAAAAGCAATAAATGTAATGTCACATATCACATACTCCTGCAAGAAAGAATCTGTAGGGTAGACAGGACTGGAATGCTTTTATCGCTTATTTCTAGATGGCTAATGTACTGTTAAATTTAAGTTCTGAAAAAAATATTATTTCTGTTTTTATATTTTCTGTTCAAGGCACAGACCATCGCTTCCTTCGTTATGCTACCCTCCCACGAGAAATAGTCTGCACCGAAAATTTGACGCCATGGAAGAAGCTGTTGCCCTGTGGATCCAAGGTGAGTTCATCTTTCATTTGCAGTTGTCTGTCTCTCCAGTGATTATGCCTTGTTTGTGTTTTGTATACCAACTTTTTCCCCCCTCCATTTGGTACCTGTGAATTTTCAGGCTGGTCTGGCTGTGCTGTTGAAGTCTGAAAAGCTCTTCCACAGCAGTTTTCATTCCCAGGCTGTGCACATCAGACCGGTGTGTCAGGACTGGCAGTGCAAAACAACGTCGTTGGAGCTGAGGCAGACACTGAATGTAGTGTTTGACCTTCACACCTCTGGACAGGGCAAGCGAGGTCAAGAAAGGACAGCTTATATACTGCATTCATCAACGTTTTATGACCTTTTTAAACCTTAATATCTCTTCAGTCTTTGCTGATATGATTAATTTCTCTTTGCAGAGTGGTCTTTGTTTAAGATGTTCTCTAGAACCCTGACAGAATCCTGCCCCCTGGCCTCCTCCAGTAAAATATACATCGACACCACAGACAATCCTCAGGTGATATTTTGGTCCCCAATTGGATCTATTTTTTTGTTACATTTGAAACATTTTCAGTTACACTAAATAAATCATCAAAGTGGGATCAGATTAATTTGTCATGGTAGAAAATTGTTCTGTTTGATTTGAAATTGAAAGAAGCTGGTTTTGTTTTTGCAGGAGGAGCAATTTGAGCTCAGTCCAGCTACTCCACTGCTGAGCCAGGCAGTGGTACTGGGGGACAGACGGACCTTTTCTGTCTACGACCTGACCCAGCAAGTCACCTTTGGCACTGTACGCTCCCTTAATGTGCTGATTCGCTGGAAATCCACAGAGGGTGAGTGATGGAAGACATAGCTGAAGCAGCTTGTTGGATTGGCTGAACTCATGAAAAGGAGTTTCCATTAGTTTTAGCTCTTTTTTGATCTATAACCTGGTATTTTAATTATGCAATCCTTCTGAAATTGTTATAAATGTATTTTTACTAGCTGTTAAGAGAAAATAATGCAAGGTTATTTGGACCCCTTTTAATACTCTTCTTGTTTTTCTTGCAAGAGTACCGGTATGTGTGAAAAAAAACAACAAAAAAGAACTATGTGACTTGCATGTATATAATTTGGATGTAGTGTTGGCAACATTTGCAGTTTGCCATGGTTTGTTTACCATCATTTTCAGGTCTCTTACACATTAGCTAAAAAGTTACATAGGAATCAACACTTACTTTACCTGTTTGTTAGAATCACTCTTTTTGGTGGAATAAAGATGGAAGTAGTGATAGCAAGGCAGGCTAATGTTAGCCTTCTAGTATTGATGTACAGAAGTAGGACCAATACCACACTTTTCTGCTCTTGTTGGCAGCCTCAAGCCACCTTCACTCTGCGGGTTTTAATACCAACATTCACATTTTCAAATGAAAAATTCAGATTTCTGGATTAATCTGATGCCTTTTAAGATTTTTAGCATTTTGATTCTGTTTCAGATCATCATTATCTGCTTTTCTCTTTCTGAATTTAGGCGACATGCTTAGGCCCTTGCTCCATGCCGAGCGATACGTGGCCGGATATGGGCTACAGACAGGAGAGATCCACACCTTAATCTACAACAACCACCCCTTCAGGTCTTTTCCTGTGCTGCTGCTAGACTCTGTGCCTTGGTATCTACGTCTCTATGTCCACACGCTCACTGTCACCAGCAAGGGAAAGGATAACAAGCCCAGTGAGTTCATATTTCACCAAGAGAAAGGCCGATACATCGGCCTGTCAATATTTCTGTTCAATTTTATTTTTTTTTCTTATAGCAACTTTAACAGATATGTGCATGTGTTCACCGATTCAATAGTAGAGTGGTTTCTAAAATGAGTGAGTTTTTTCATTTATTGATATCAATGTTGAATTGTTACACAGTAGAATAAAGAGCTACTTAATAAAGAGAAATTAAAGTAACCTACAGGACCACAACAGATAACTGTTAAGTCTATACTGCAGCCCTTTTTATCTTTGTTTTTTTTTTGTTTTTTTTTTACTTTCATGTTTCCTTTAGTAACTTTCTTTGAAGATAACACAACAAATTGGGGGTTAATTACATATTAAAGTCGATCTGGGATTAGAACAGATGGGGAAACAGGGAAAATCTGATAAGGGTTGCAAGATTTCCCTCTAAAAGTAATAGCTTTGTTTATTTGTGAGCTCACTCAGAGTTAAATTTGTGTGTGTTTTTTCCCCAACATAAATCTTTCCCTTCACTTCAAAACCTTTAGCTAGGAACTAAGGCCTTGGGGTAAATTGTGCCAGTAGTTGTCTTTTTTTTTTGCCTGCTGCAGGCAAACAGTGAGTTTAGCTTTGAGTTTGCTGCTTTAATATAATTTGCAATGGAATAAATTGCAGTGTAATACGATCTAAGGTATGACAGGTCTCAGCATCATCAAATGGCTGATTTTTTTTTTTTTTTTTTTTTTTTTGTGTGTGCATTTTTGTAAACAAACGCTAAATAATCCTAAACATCAACAAACTGTATTCATAAGTCAGGTTCACATAATCCGGAATTTTAAAATCTGAGTTTTATCGAGGACTCAGACCTGAATCTTCAGAGGCAGATAAAGACAGTAGCAGAGTTGAGCTTCTGTTCCCTAAAGACCATCTCCAGGATTAAAGTACTAATGTCTCAGCAGGACCTGAAAAAAACCCATTTATCTCACTATAATCAATTACTGCGGCAATGTGCCAAGAAAGTTGATCAGAAACCTGAAGCTGATCCAGGAAGCTGCTGCCTGCATCCTCACCAAAACTATGAAAGTGCAGCACATTGCTCCAGTGCATAAGTCGTTACTCTGACTTCCATTCTCTCAGAGATTTTCTAAATGCTTCTGTTTGCGTATAAATTACTGAATCAGCATCAGCTGCCCAGACCTGCTTCTCTAATATACCCTGCATACCCAGAACCAAACTTGTAGAGGCAGCGTTTAGTTCTTATGCTCTACAAATCTGAAATAAACTCCCAGATAACAAATATTTAAAAAAACAAATCCTTTATCTTATTTTAATGTCTGACTTTATTTTCTTTATTTTTTATGCCTCCTATACAATGCAATATACTTCTCTATTTCTCATGTACACCACTTTGAATTAAAATTAGATTAAAAAGTTAGTGCTGTTTGTGAAAGATTGCTCTATAAAAGATGCATTAACACAATTTACTCCTTTAGTTAAAAATATGTGCCTACTCTTAGAATATTTTGGTATTTTCATGATATTGCCACTAGGAGGTGTGCTTACGTTTCATTTTCAAAAGAATAGTAGCCTTGAATGTTCAGGTTAATGGTGTTTTTATTTTATTTTTTGCCAAGTAGTTGATATGATTAATTCAGTAATTTATGATACATTTATGCTAATGTTTATGTAAAAAAAAAAAAAAAAGAGGGGGTGGGGGGATGCAAACACTAAAATTAGATGTCTTTATGTGTATCTTCTTTGCCAGGTTACATCCACTACCAGCCATCTAAGGATCGAATACGGCCACACCTGCTAGAGATGCTGCTCCAGCTGCCTCCACACTCTGTTACCGAGGTGACAGTGCAATTTGAGAGGGCGCTGCTTAAATGGACCGAATATACGCCTGATCCCAACCACGGATTCTACGTTGGGTATGAACAAACTTCCTGTCACAGTATTCAGAAGTTTATCGGCCAAGTAACAAGTGAAGGTTTATGTTTTCTTTTTAATGATTGATTTCTCTTTTCTTGTTCAAATGCAGATCTTCAGTTATCAGTGCTCTTGTGCCAAGTACTGTTGCCATGAGTACAAATATCACTCAGGAGCAACCACTGTTCAGTACTTTGTGAGTGGAGTTTTTTTTTCTGACATACACAAAAACATTTTTTTTGTGTGTGTAAAATCTCACTTTGTGTTTCTCCTTTCAGTTTTCCATGCAAAGAAGAGTCCAACTACTTTATGCGTGTCTACACAGAGCCTCTGTTGGTCAACCTGCCCACTCCAGACTTTAGCATGCCTTACAACGTCATCTGTTTAACGTGTACTGTTGTGGCCGTAGGCTATGGCTCACTTTACAACCTGCTGACAAGAAGCTTCCAGATAGAAGAACCCAGCCCAGGATTGGCCAAGCGTATCGCAAACGTTATCCGCAAGATGAGGGGTGTACCGCCTCTTTGAGGCAGCATCAGAGGACATTAGCTTATTATAGAATTGGCCCTTCACAAAAAAATAAAATAAATACCCAAATGTGTTAACATTCAGGGAAGAACTGAGTCAAACACTGGCATAACTGTATGGGTAAAGGGCAACGTGGAGTTTTATTGTTTTCAGGGTTTTTTTTTTTTTTTTATACAATGGAAAATGTAACGGTGATAACTAGAAAGGTGTTTTATTAATGTTTAAAACAAGAGCAGCAGTAGCTTGTTTTGTTGTTCTGTTTCTGTTAATATGACTCTGAATTTCTTTATAGTAGTCTTTTGCCATCGAATGTTGCAGTGCTTTTGACCCACAACGGTTTGATAACTCCATGCCAGGAGAGATAAGGAAAGGTGACACGTTAAGTCATAGTGACCTTTTGTTTTTGGCAACTCTTATTGGGCAAATAAATGTGGTTTACAAACTCAATTCAAAGGATTTGTAAAACAACCTTTCTGTTGAAGTTTACTTTCTCATCATATATTTGTTTACATTTTTGTTTCCTTCCTTAAATCTAAAGGTTTGTGAAATAATTTTAATATCAATCAGACATCCATCTGTCAATATTTTGAACTTATTATCTATAGGTACAGTACACTCCAGCCTGTTGTAGGACAACACAGATATACACACACTTACACCTAAGAACAAATTAGAGATACCAATTAACCTAAAAGTCATCTTTTTGGACAGTGGGAGGAAGCTGAAAACCTGGAGAGAACCTACAAATACACAGGGAAAAAAATTCAAAGAACCCAGGCTAAGAATTCATCCATAACCTTCTTGCTGGCAGGCAACAGTGCTAAAAACTGCCACAGTGCAGACATAACTTGACTAAATACAGGATATCAATTTAAAATATTTATTTAATATTTTAGTTTTTCAATTTATCTTGGTTCTAATTAGGTGGAAAAAGGAAACCCCCAGCTCGTTAAAACAAAAACTGAAAATGAAGACATTTTTGGTATAATGTTTGGTAGGAATCACTAGCTACAAACCAGAAAACACAGAGCACTGTAAATCAAGATTCCATGCAAGTAGAAGATGAAGTAGACTAAAACACTTCAAAATGCAAAACATTGTGTCCTTGATTTAACTAAAAATACATCTCAAGAACAGAAAGGCAAACACCATGAGACTATTAGTCTTTATTTAAAAAAGCTGTTTCTGAGCAAGCAATGAGGAGATAATTTTTCTAATCTGAGAATGAACAAAGGTCAGAGATTGACCCAGAAAAAATAGATCCTCTCTTAGGTCATTAAGGATAAAACAAATACAAAGACACTGAGTAAACTGTCCTTCATGGACACGTTCAAAGGCAAATACCACTATTGTTCAGAAAGGCTTGTCTGTTTACTAAAATAACTTTTTGTTGATTAATAAGACTGATGGAAAAATATTATTTGAACTAATAAGACAAAGCTGAACATTTTGTGGGAAAGATATGTGTTTCATTACGCTTTTGTTTAACAACCTTTTGTCAAAGAACTATAGAGATTGATGGTGGTGTAATGGGATGAGATTTCTTTGCTGCTTTAGGACACTTGCTGCAAAACATGAGTTCTGGTGTCTCTCAGAAAATTATGGGGTATTCAGCAAGACAATAATTCAAAGTATCAGCATTCAAAATGGGGAAAAATATATTTTTTTTTTATACAATGAACAGCATTTTCCAGTTTGAAACCCTTCCAGTCTGACTGAAATAAAAAAGATTTTGCAAAGGTTCGGCTAAAACTACGGTGCCAGTTATTGTAAATGCTTTGTACAGGTTGTTACTACCAAGGTTGACACAACCAGTTATGAGATTTGAGGGGAAATTACTTTTCCACACACTGTTGGACAACAAAAGGATAGCATATGTGTCTTGAATAAATACATTCATTATTTGAAAACTGTGTTTTCAAGTTACTCTGTTTAACTTTCTCTGATATTAAGAGTTAGTGGGATGTTTGAAACATATACAGTGGGGCAAAAAAGTATTTAGTCAGCCACCAATAGTGCAAGTTCTCCCACTCAAAAAGATGAGCGAGGCCGGTAATTTTGATCATAGATATACCTCAACTATGAGAGACAAAATGAGAAAAAAAAATCCAGAAAATCACATTGTCTGATTTTTAAAGACTTTATTTGCAAAATATGGTGGAAAATAAGTATTTGGTCAATAACAAAAGTTCATCTCAATACTTTGTTTTATACCCTTTGTTGGCAATGACAGAGATCAAAAGTTTTCTGTAAGTCTTCACAAGGTTTACACACACTGTTGCTGGTATTTTGGCCCATTCCTCCATGCAGATCTCCTCTAGCCTTCCTATGGTGTTAGGGTCCCTACGGACCCGTTTTGAGTTTTAGCATGCATAAAAGTATTTCATACATTTGTTTTTGCGTTGAAACTTTTTGACTTTGTCAAGGACTTCCATTTAAACAAAGTAAAATCAAATTTTATTTTTTTACTAAATTATAAAGTGCTCTGGTGAAAAAAATGACTTTTGTGGTGTTGGGGTCATTTGTGACCCGGGTAAAATTTTTGATTATAAAACAATAAAAAATGCCTAAAATGTAATCATGAACACACAATCAACCAACAGCCTCTTCTTCCAACCACTTGAGCTTCATTTAGGGCCTTTTGTCTTTGCCTTTTTGCGAGAACAAACAAAGGGAGACATGTCCAGGCTTGTCAAGCCATTTGAGTGTAGAGGTGGTGACTTGAAGAGTACACATCACCAATTCACAGAATGCAACAGTAAGGAGAAGATTCACTGTAAATAAAGCTTTGGATCACATCTTTGCTGCACATGAGGCAGAGGACACACAGGATTTTAGCGATGGAGATTAGCAGGCCTCTGAGACAACAATGTCTCTTTGGACCTTTCAGATGATCTCAAGAGTCCTCAGATTTGACAATCGATACACCAGAGCGAAATCTGACAAGCTTGCTCCCATCAGGGATGTTTGGGAGAGATGGGTGCAACTCCTTCCACTGATGTTCAACCCAGGGCCAGAGGTGACAGTAGATGAACATTTTCTCCCTTTTCGAGGAAAATGCCCGTTCCGGCAATACATGCCCAGCAAGCCAGGCAAATATGGCATAAAAATCTGGGCAGCCTGTGATGCTAAAACAAGCTATGCGTGGAACCTACAGATTTACACAGGAAAATCTGCAAGCGGCATCCTTGAAAAAAACCAAGGAAAACGGGTAGTCCTCGATTTGACTACTGGACTGCAGGGTCACAACATCACTTTTTTTTACATGCTTTGACCTTGGACAAGAACTTCTCAGGAGGAAACTCACTATGGTGGGCACCATAAAAAAATTAAACCTGAGCTGCCCGCTGAAATGAGGCTGGTGAAGGACAGGAGGAGTGGACAATCTGGACAAGCTGACTGCCACCTACACTTGCCAGCGAATGACCAGGAGATGGCCAATGGTTGTGTTTTACAACATCCTCAATGTGTCTGCATACAATGCATTTGTGTTGTGGACCCATATTCACCAAGGGTGGAATTCAACCCAAAACACTAAGCGGAGAATGTTTCTTGAGGAGCTCGGGAATTCCCTTGTCAAGCCGCACATTGAGCAACGGGAACGGGTGCCCCGAGACCCAGCTACTGCAGACTTGGTCAGACAGCTGCAGTGGTCACCAAACACGCCATCCACATCCTCAGCAACAAGAAGAGTATCAGCATCACCTTCCCCCTCTGCAGCCAGCCCTGCCTCAAGCACTCCATCCACAGCCACAATGCCAGTGAGACCACCTCGCTCAAAAAGAAAGAGGTGTCAGGGCTGCTCTAGCAATATGGACAGAAAAAACCTACACAGTGTGTTTCACCTGCAACAAATATATCTGCAAAGAACACACCAAAAGTGTAAATATACACAAATATAAATATTTTATTCAAATTCTATTGTGTGAAAAAAAAGACTTGTTTTTGCCCTTTTCTTGAAGTAAATATGTACGGGTCCAAAATGACCCGAAACACCATAGATGTTACTATATTTGATAATATTAAAATTAAAATCTTTTTTTTGTTGAACATTTATGAAATGTGTTTTAATATCTCTCAGTTGCACTCAGGTAACAGAACAGCTGATTATTTTGTTGACTTCTTCTCTTAAGGTTCATTTGACCACTTTTTAGACATTGAAAACGAGGGGTATGCTGCTAAAACAAAGGCCCAGGGGGCCACAAAAAAATATTAAAAGCAATCTTTTCATAGATAAGGGAGCCCAATCAGCTAAACAAGAGTTAAGAAAAACATTGGATGATATAAGATTGTTTTTAGGGTATTTTATGGCTGATTTAATACTCGGGTCCAAAATGACCCGCTAACACTACAGATGGCAGCAGAAAGCTAACACAAGAGGAAGGCTAGAGCAGTGATGTTCTGGGGCTGTCGCTGGGCAACACGGACTTTCAACTCCCTCCAAATATTTTCTATGGGGTTGAGATCTGGAGACTGGCTAGGCCACTCCAGGACCTTGAAATGCTTCTTACGAAGCCACTCCTTCGTTACCCGGGCGGTGTGTTTGGGATCATTGTCATGGTGAAAGACCCAGCCGCGTTTCATCTTCAATGCCCTTGCTGATGGCAGGAGGTTTTCACTCAAAATTTGACGATACATGGTCCCATTCATTCTTTCCTTCACACGGATCAGTCGTCCTGGTCCCTTAGCAGAAAAACAGCCTCAAAGCATGATGTTTCCACCCCCATGCTTCACTGTAGGTATGGTGTTCTTTGGATGCAACTCAGCATTCTCTCTCCTCCAAACACGACGAGTAGAGTTTTTACCAAAAAGTTCTATTTTGGTTTCATCTGACCATATGATATTCTCCCAGTCATCGTCTGGATCATCCAAATGCTCTCTAGCAAACTTGAGACGGGCCTTGACATGTACTGGCTTAAGCAGGGGGACACGTCTGGCACTGCAGGATTTGAGTCCCTGGCGGCGTAGTGTGTTACTGATGGTAGCCTTTGTTACTTTGGTCCCAGCTCTCTGCAGGTCATTCACTAGGTCCCCCCGTGTGGTTCTGGGATTTTTACTCACCGTTCTTGTGATCATTTTGACCCCACGGGGTGAGATCTTGCGTGGAGCCCCAGGTCGAGTAAGATTATCAGTGGTCTTGTATGTTTTCCATTTTCTAATAATTGATCCCACAGTTGATTTCTTCACATCAAGCTGTTTACCTATTGCAGATTCAGACTTCCCAGCCTGGTGCAGGTCTATAATTCTGTTTCGGATGTCCTTTGACAGCTCTCTAGTTTTGGCTATGGTGGAGTTTAGAGTGTGACTGTTTGAGGTAGTGGACAGGTGTCTTTTATACTGATAACGGGTTCAAACAGGTGCCATTATTGAAGGTAACGAGTGGAGGACAGAGGAGCCTCTTACAGAAGAAGTTACTGGTCTGTGAGAGCCAAAAATCTTGCTCGTTTGTAACTGACCAAATACTTACACTCACCGGCCACTTTATTTGGTACACCTGTCCAACTGCTTGTTAACACTTAATTTCTAAGCAGCCAATCACATGGCGGCAACTCAGTGCATTTAGGCATGTAGACATGGTCAAGACAATCTCCTGCAGTTCAAACCGAGCATCAGTATGGGGAAGAAAGGTGATTTGAGTGACTTTGAATGTGGCATGATTGTTGGTGCCAGAAGGGCTGGTCTGAGTATTTCAGAAACTGCTGATCTACTGGGATTTTCACGCACAACCATCTCTAGGGTTTACAGAGAATGGTCCGAAAAAGAAAAAACATCCAGTGAGCGGCAGTTCTGTGGGCGGAAATGCCTTGTTGATGCCAGAGGTCAGAGGAGAATGGCCAGACTGGTTCCAGCTGATAGAAGGGCAACAGTGACTCAAATAACCACCCGTTACAACCAAGGTGGGCAGAAGAGCATCTCTGAACGCACAGTACGTCGAACTTTGAGGCAGATGGGCTACAGCAGCAGAAGACCACACTGGGTGCCACTTCTTTCAGCTAAGAACAGGAAACTGAGGCTACAATTTGCACAAGCTCATCGAAATTGGACAATAGAAGATTGGAAAAACGTTGCCTGGTCTGATGAGTCTCGATTTCTGCTGCGACATTCGGATGGTAGGGTCAGAATTTGGCGTCTACAACATGAAAGCATGGATCCATCCTGCCTTATATCAACGGTTCAGGCTGCTGGTGGTGGTGTCATGGTGTGGGGAATATTTTCTTGCCACTCTTTGGCTCCCAACGCCACAGCCTACCTGAGTATTGTTGCTGACCATGTCCATCCCTTTATGACCACAATGTACCCAACTTCTGATGGCTACTTTCAGCAGGATAATGCGCCATGTCATAAAGCTGGAATCATCTCAGACTGGTTTCTTGAACATGACAATGAGTTCACTGTACTCAAATGGCCTCCCCAGTCACCAGATCTCAATCCAATAGAGCATCTTTGGGATGTGGTGGAACGGGAGATTCGCATCATGGATGTGCAGCCGACAAATCTGTGGCAACTGTGTGATGCCATCATGTCAATATGGACCAAACTCCCTGAGGAATGCTTCCAGCACCTTGTTGAATCTATGCCACGAAGAATTGAGGCAGTTCTGAAGGCAAAAGGGGGTCCAACCCGTTACTAGCATGGGGTACCTAATAAAGTGGCCGGTGAGTGTATTTTGCACCATATTTTGCAAATAAATTCTTCAAATATCAGACAATGTGATTTTCTGGATTTTTTTTCTAATTTTGTCTCTCATACTTGAGGTATATCTATGATGAAAATTACCGGCCTCTCTCACCTTTTTGAGTGGGAGAACTTGCACTATTGGTGGCTGACTAAATACTTTTTTGCCCCACTGTATGTATAAATTATTTAGCTAATAATTTTAGAATCCTAACTAATCTAAAACAAGCGAAAATAGACTGAATATATCTGGTTTTATCTGTATGGTTTTTAAGTAAAACAACACTGTTTGCGATTGTAGTGCTTTAAAAAATACACCATAAAATACAAACAAACAATTATTAGCCTTTTTTAATAACCAGAGGTACACATTGGTATCTGTTATGGCTGTTTGCAGTAGCGACCACACGTTGTTGGACAGCATTTCTTTTCTCCTGGGCAGTCCCCATCATGATCACAGAATTTATGACACCATGAGGTGGACAGTGGAGGGTCGCAGCTTCCAGGTTTTACTGCAAATTGAACAAATTAAACAATTATTTGTAGCCTGTGAGGACTAAAGTAGAAATGTCAGTTTTGTTTATACAATATCTCACCTGGCACAGTGGACATGCATTGATGGCCACATCCATTGGAGCAGCACTTTTCACCTTCCTCGCAATCACTATCACGGATGCAAAGTTCAGCACATACCCCAGATAATCCAAACATGTTTGGGCATGCTTGATCATCTAAATGAAATTTCAGTTTTCTTAGTGAGCTTTGAAAACACCTCATTTATAATCCAAATTTCTTACAGCGACTTAAGAAGATAATTTTGTGACTTACAAAGAATAGCAGGGGCACAGACAGGTTTTCCGTTATACACGCAGCATTTTTCCTCTTCGTTGCAGTCTTTATCTTCCCTACATGACTTTGCGGGCATTAAAGGTTGAAAGACTCTGGGGCAGTAAGCTGGTTATAGACATGCAATAAATCTATTAATAACCTTGTCTATCAGCAGGCTTAGATTGATAAGCAGATAAAAATAAACATTTTTCACTATAAACAGTAAAATCAACAAACTTGCCAGGTTTTGAAGTTGTCGAAGAACAGGTCATTAGTGAAGAAATCACCACAAGCAGCACAGCCTTTGTAAAATAGTGTCTCACCATGTTGAATTATCAGTCAAGGATGAGCTGTTGCTTCGCTATCTTGACAAATATTCAAGTCATAGAGCTCTTCTCTGATGACGCACACAGCGCTGGGTTCTTGTGTCATTCAGTTACTCTCGGATATTATTGCTCTCTAATTGATAAGATGCATGCCCAGTTGTTTTTGCGGTCAACCTGTCCTCATTTCTGCACACAAGGGAACACAAAGAAAAGCAACAAAAGTAAATAATCCGTAAAGATTTCAGATAAGCCACAGTGATTTAAGGTCAGCAGCGGATTGTCCTGTTTGCAGATTCATGTGTACAAACATGTAGCAAGAACTTTGATCACTTATAAACAGTATTTATATTTTGATTTATGTGGAAGTTACTATCAATGATGAAAAATATGTTGTACTTTGATATCTAGCAAAAGTTTCAAGTTTCATATCTCCCAAGAGAATCTTTTTTTCTTTTCTCTGGTAAATTCTTTAGAGGTTAATAATATGTCCCGATTTGTAAAAGCAAATAACATATCACAATGTTACCAGGTGAATATAAACTGTGCTAAATTCATAAAAATAATCAATCCACAGATGTGCCAACATTTGCCTCACTTAAAATAAGAAAGTGGAGTACATTGCCTCTTTGCTAAAGTCCTTTCTTTTTTCCTCTATAACTAAAATATCTAATAATTAAAATAAAATCAAAGTCAAATTCTTTGTTAGTGTATCAACTGCCCAGATCTCTCAAGTCTTTTACTCAAGTCTACTTTGCATACCCAGAACCAGACCCAAACCTGGAGTATCAACTTTTAGTCCTCATGCTCCACTAATCTCGAATTAACTCCTAGAGAACTCTAAACCCTAATTTGCTTTAGAGCAAGATTTAAAACGACATTTGACTGTGCTATGTAATCATTATTAGTATAAGTCTAATTTTTCTTCTTTTTGTTATCAATCCTTTTATTATTGTGTTTTTAACTATATTTAACCCCTTCAAGTATTAATTTCAATTAAGTTCATTTTATTATCATTAATCTTTTAATTATCTTTATGCCACTGCAATGTACTTTTTTCATGTAAATGCCATATAATTAAACTTGCATTGTCAGATATTCCTCTAAACAGTGATTAATTATAATTTTTTAACCCTGAAAAGTTTTTGTTATCATTGTTGTAAACTGTCAGCATATGCTTGCAGTCAGGGACATGCACAGATAGACACTAGGTGGTGCTAGAGCTCTAACAGGCATCAAGGAACGCTTTAAATTGTAACTCTTTGAATAAATGAGAGAAAATGTGATTTAAATTATCTCATAGATGTAGTTATTGATGTCCATGTCAGGGACAGTTACTATTTCTCCATGCAACACATAAGGTGCCCTTTTTACCACATACCAGGCGTATTCTGAGCAATGCCCAGGTGTTATTCTTTTTCTAATTTTGTTGTGTCATTATATGTCATTTGTTCCATTCAACCCATATCCCTTAAGTAGTGGGCTGTCATTGTGCAGCATCCGGGAGCATTGTGGGGTTAAGGGTCCTTTGCTCAAGCAGCCAGAGAACCTCTGGATTGCAAGAGCAATGCCCTATCCACTAGGCCACCACTCCCCTCACTATCCTCCTTGGCATTCAATATTTTTGATACTGCTTTACTCTTGATCTTGAATTTTCTTCCCTTTTTTGTCACACCTACACTGCTACACCACAGTCAGGGATGCTTATCATGCCGTCCCCTGTGCTGCACCAATCCAACCACGTCATGGCTCACCTGATTCCTGCATACAAGCAGAAACTAAAGCTCTGCAAACCTGTAGTGAGGACATCAAAGAAGTGGACCAGTGAGGCTGTGGAGGATCTTCAGGTGTGTCTGGATTCTACTGACTGGGATGTTTTCAGGGCTGCTATCAACAGTCAAGATGAGAGGCTGTGACATCATACATCAGCTTCTGTGAGGACTACTGTGTTTCATCATGAACCAGGGTGTGTTACTGTACAACTATGACAAACCCTGGTTCATAGTAAACTCAGAAGGTTAAGGTTGGGTAAGGAAGAGGTCTTCAAGAGTGGGGACAAATGCAGATTCAAAGACGCAAAATACAAGTTCAGCAAGGCTAAACGACTGTACTCTGAGAAGATTCAAAATCAATTTTCAGCCAATGACTCTGCTTCAGTCTGAAAAGGGCTTAGACAAATCACAAATTCCAAGCTGAAACCCACCTACTCCATAGATGACCTTAGAAAATGACCTGAATGAGTTCTACTGTCATTTCAACAGACAAAGGGACAGCTTTGCATCCACTCCACCTGAAGGTGGATTACAGACTGCCTGTCTGACAGGAGGCAGCACGTGAAGCTTGGAAAAATGTCTCAAGCCTAACCAGCACTGCTTCCCCCCAGGGCTGTGTTCTTTCACTTCTGCTCTTCTCACTGTATACCAATAGCTGTACCTCCAGTCATCAGTTTGTCAAGATTCTGATACTTTACTAAAAAATAAAAATAAAAAAAAGTATAAAGAATTAAAGGATTTCAAAACTAATAATGATAAGAACGCCTTTGTATGGAATCAGAATAAGCTTCTGGTTTAGAAAGTCAAGGAACATGACTAGGCCCCTGTAATGATTTAAAATCACAAATTCTAAATTTCTATCTTTAAATGTTTCTGATTAAATATATTAAAGGACAATTTCTTTTCAAATACAAGCTCAATCAGACTTACAGTATTGTTATTAACTTAGCAGAGGGTGTGAAGTAATCTTGAAATGCTTTTGCAGCATAATTGTCTGTAAGATTGGTCAGGCTTTTGTACTTTTTTTGTTCATATCTCCCTTTAAATACATATAAAAATAATTTACATTTTTACAGGTTTAAAATGTATATCTTTGCACTGATGCAAAACTCTTAATCTGATGAGCTTGTATTAACAGTAAGCATTACTTATGTCCAGGCTCGGACTTGGAACGATTTGCGGCCCTTCAAACGCGTGAGTCTCAAATGTAAAACACAACACAAATTCATATTGTCGGTTAACCGATCTATCTTCAAGCATCACAAGAAAACCATCCCCAAAACTTCTACCATGAGGTTTTACTTGCTTTGGTTATTAACACGGACGCGACAGTGACTGTTGTTGCTGATGCTTAATGTCCACACTTGCACGAAGCCAGCCAGACACCCACTCACACATTATAGGTCTACAACGTAAGCCGAGTGTTGTAAAAATACCAACATGAAGCAATGCAATATACTGTAGAGGCAGACAGGCAATTCTTCAAGAATGAATACATGAAAGCTCAGTGATGTGTAAGCATTCACTGCGAGTCTAGGTTGCATGAGGGCAATGAAATGGAATAATGTAAACAGATGCAAAACCCCATCATGCACCGCTACATATTTGTGCAAAATATTCAAATATAAATTCACCAAATATAGGAGGAACAAGGATTTTACAGTTTGAAGAAATAGAAAATTACACCATATGCCAACTGTCTCAATGATGTGCATGACAAGGAAGGGCTATATACAGTATGCTGCATGCATCATTTAAATAGTTAATATTGTATTACTTTTTGAGCTTCTTGAGTTATTTACTGTCACAGGTAGGTGCTTCGGCAGAAGAGTAAGTGTTGGGGCCGGTATGATTTAAGGAGGGCCGGCCCTCGCACGCTGAAATTAGGACCGGCCCACCAGGCAAATGCCCGGTATCACAGATTACCAGTCTGAGCCTGCTTATGTCACATAGTTGCACCGGTTATCAAAAACGTTTGCACAGTGAAAGGTCAGTAGACTTGGAAAAGTAACTCTGTAGACACAAGGCTTCTGCCACAAGACCTTAGTTTATTTAAAGGGATATTTGTTCAAGCAGATCAAAAGGAGGACTTGGATTTCTAACTGCAACAGAGATGAAATTTTTTGCAAAAGCAGCAATTTTTTTTGCATTGGGCTTATTTGTACAGGGTTACACAAGAGAAGGAAGACTAGGTAAGTTTTTATTTTCCTATAAATTGAAAAGCATGCTCTTTTACTTTTTGCTTTTGTTTTGCTATAGACCTGTATGTCAATATGTTGATAAAGGGAAATAACCAATTAGATATACCATACCATACCAACTTTATTTATGAAGCACTTTATGCACCAGACAGGACCAAAGTGCTGTACACAATCATAAAATACAATAAAATTGTAAAATAGAGAAAAAACGAGTGTAAAATACATATAAGTATATAAAAAAAATATAAAACAAAGTATGGAATATGGAACTGCAATTGTTTTTTGTTTCTTTTTTAATGATGCCATTATGCTTGCAATACTCTAAATCCCAAAGTAGGAGAGGACCCCAAGGTTGGAAAGTGTGCCCTAGTCTACAAAACCTTTCTCCCAGAAAGACCATGTCATAATGATGGACACTGCCCTGGACAAGACAAATGTTGTAGCTTTGGCACTAGATCTTTCTGTGCTCCTCCAGTTATACGTAAGAGACACTGATATAAATTCTGTTTAATATTTGCTGTCAAAATTGTACATTTTTTTTAAGATTTCCCAAAGTTTCAACACTTAAGTTCAATCATGTTTTCTTTCTTTTTTTTCTCTGCTTTGGTCTTTCCTCTCAGCTAACCCAGCTTGTCCAAACACAGATGGAAGAATTGGTCCATGTGTTGAAAACTGTTTCAGTGACAGTGACTGCCCAACTGGCAAGATATGCTGCTCCAATGGATGCGGGCACACATGCATTAGAACAGGTACATGCTGGACAAGAAAAATACCCTTACTAGTACTATGAATCTATCAAAAGGATGGAAACATTTACAATAATCAGCGATCAAAATGTATCAGAATCAAAACTTCAAAGACCACATGTCTTTCAAGACCACAGTTTTAGCATTTATCTGCAATTTGGGCCTCATCTAATTATATAAATGCTGTTTTATTTTCCTTCTCATACTTCATTTTAATTTACATTAGACCGAGTAACCTAACCCTATATTCTAATATGGCCGGATTGATATGCTCTCATCCCCACCCGGAGGCCTCCAAAGTGTGACCACTCATCATGGACCACTCATTGCTCTACTATGCTAATCTGTACAAGCAGATGCATTGGTCATTGACCTTGACCAGACCCCTCTTAGTAGAACTGCAGTCAGTCCCTTGGCTGGCATGGCTATCACTGCCCCTACATAGTTAGGGACAAATGCAGAGGACAAATTTCCCACTGGGATCAGCTTCAAAGTTACAGTAGGCCACTTCTTTGATTTTACTTTGGAAATTACTTTTGGCGATGAATCTACCAAGATTTGGAACAAAACCTCACAAAACATTGCAAATGAATATCTGAATCATTTTAAGTCAAGTATTTATTTAACTCAAATTCAATGAATAAGATAACATCTAAAACAATTTTCAAAATCTGAAAAAAAAACTACTTACAAATCCAAATACACTCAAATTAGCCTGAAAATAAAAAATAAGCCTAAACAAATTTAAATATTTTTAGTCACCTTTCAAATATTCATTTAGGGTATTTATTTTATAAAACAGACTGTTTATCAGAAAATCTGTATTGCTTCTATTGGCTATTTTAAAGTAAGCTAGACTACAGGATGGCAATGAATGAGTTAAAAGTATTCTAACAGGTCTGTCGAACTAAGCTATTTACCATAGATCGGACGACAGGCATTCTGCCAGTCACTCGAGGGACCTTGCAGTCAGATGTCAACATTCAATTATGAGCATTGGCCAGACATTTACATCTCATTTGGCAGTTCTTTCAAGATAATAATCTTAAAATGTGTCTTAAATTGCTTAATTAAAATGCATTTTTCAAACCTTCGATTCTCTCAACAAGTTTCTTCCACGGCTCTCGGCCACAGCTCCACTTGTCTCACCAACGTCTTCCAAATTCTGTCTGTCACATAGCAAAACAGCAGCGCTCTACAGATACATTTGATATTCGATTCACAACCAAAATGCAGATTTTGACTGTTCAGCAATGCCTATACACTCTAGGCTAATTCTTGTGTGTCATGAAAACTGTAAAGACAGAAAAATGTTTGTGCTTCAAACTAGTTTACCTAGTTTTGCATGTTATCACTATGTCCAGAGATTAGGACTGTGACACAATGGTAAGTTTATAAAAGGTAATGTCCTCTGACTCTTGACTTGAAAAATGGAGTCCCTCAAATCACATTGTCTTTGCCGCTCGGCTGTGATGCTGTTCAGAACACCGTCTCCTGCTCCGCTGGTTGTGCCACTGAGATCGAAAATAAGATCGCATGTGCTCCTGGGCCCCCGTCATTTGGTCAGGTTAATCATAAACGCACAGCCTGCTAAATGCTGAAAGGGCAGTATTATTACCCTAACTGTTAATATATGTTGAAATGTCCACATTCAGTGATAAAATGTTACAGGGAATGGTATGGGGGAATGCCATCCTCCCTGATCCCCTCATCCCACTTCAACTCGAGTACTGGGTATAGCCTAAATAAATCAGCTCACTTCCAAACAACTACTCAGCCAAACTGCTTCAGGGTCAATCCTTAAACAAAGTGCACCCTGTGTTCAACAGGTCACCTCAAAGATTTTCCCATTGAGAAAACCACAAATAGCGTTTAAAAATGAGAAATGGAAATATCCATGTGTTCATGGATAAAGATATTTAAGAAATATATATATATTTCAAACATTTCTAGTTCCTGAGGCATAGAATAAATAAACATGTCACCACTCAAAAACTGTTTGGTGTTCTCTGAATATAAAACTCATAAAAAGTTGATGACTTCTACCAATATAAATACTTGCCAGTATACTTTGATTTGAATAAAATAAATATGTGGAAAAAGTACTTGAATTAACAATGAAATAGCACTTTTTTAATTATGTCTCCCAGCTATGTTCAACCCCGTCAACAATTTCTGTCAATTACCATTTTTATAGGGGACACAATACCGTTTAGTTTAAAAACACTTTTATGTAAAATGTTCTTCAGGCCCACTGGTAATTTATCAGACTATAGTTTGTAACTGTGATATGGCATTCATCATGGCTCGGAACAGAGGACCTAGTATTCAGGTAAGAAAGAAAGTGGGATTACTCAAAAAGCGTTTTTTTAATAAGTGGGCTGCGGATATGCAGTAGCAGCAGCTAGGAGGTTTGAGGCAGGAAACTCTGGAGAGAGGAAACATAGGTTAGTGATTATGATTGTGAGTCACTAACCTGGTTTACAAGTTCAGTCCATGCCAAGATAACAAGACAGGATCCAGTCGGTGGGCTGCCGACAAAATGCGGCAGGTGCCGCCCAGAGTGTCCTAGATGCTGCAGCCCAGGAGAACGGAAAACTTGCAGGTGTCCGAAGCCAGATCAGACAAACAGTTCAGAACAGGAACAGCAAGCTCAGAGGTCCAAAATTCCAAAGCCAGGTGAGACAAACAGATCAGAACAGGAACAGGCAGGCTCAGAGATCCAGGAGTCCAAAGACAGTTCAGGAAAACCGTTCAGATGAGAACAGGCAGGCTCAGTGGTTGAGAGGCAGAAGAGGTCAGGATCAGGAAATCAGAAACACCAAGACACTCTAAAAACACTCTCACGACTGGCTAGAGAGAACAAAAATAATCTGCCCCGGATGACTGGATGCCATCATAGCAGTCTGTCCTCTGGAGTAGTCCCTTTAAATCTTAAACATGCAGTCGTGCAGCCTTTATTAAAAAAACCTGGGCTGGATCCTACTGTTCTGTCGAATTTTAGGCCTATCTCTAAGTTGCCTTTCTTCTCAAAAATCTTAGAGAAGATTGTTTATTCTCAGCTCATGGACTTTTTAAATGAACAAAATGTTCTTGAGATTTTCCAATCTGGTTTTAAAACATTGCACAGCACAGAATCAGCGCTTTTAAGAGTTTTTAATGACATCTTTTTAGCTACTGACTCTGGACACTGTGTTGTCCTTGTACTTTTAGATTTGACTGCAGCATTTGATACAGTGGACCATTAAATCCTGATTGCTCGTTTGGAACAGTGGGTGGGCATCAGGGGCTTAGCACTGGAATGGTTCATGTCCTACCTGTCACATCGGACTTTCTGTGTCAGCCTTGATGACTCTGTGTCCTCCACTGCTCCTCTCTCATGTGGGGTCCCACAGGGCTCCGTGCTTGGCCCTCTTTTATTTTCTCTCTATCTACTCCCACTTGGCTCCATTCTCAGGAAACATGGCATTTCCTTTCACTGTTATGCTGATGACAGCCAGATTTATGTCCCCCTCAAAAAGGCTGATTCCTACTCTGTTGAACCACTGTTAAGGTGTTTACATGACCTTAAAGCTTGGATGTCTTTAAATTTTCTGAATTTTAATGAAGAAAAGACAGAAGTCATGGTCTTTGGTGGCACATCTGTGACCCCCTCCCTAGTTGATCTCGGTTCTCTATCGCAATACAGTAAACCAACTGTAAGAAACCTCGGGGTAAAAGTGGACTCAGACCTTAAATTTGACAGCCAGATAAAAGCTGTAATGAAATCTAGCTTTTTCCAGCTAAGGCAGCTGGCAAAGATCAAACCAGTCCTTCAGAGAAAGCACTTTGAGACAGTAATCCACGCCTTTGTGACCACTCGGCTGGATTACTGTAATGCACTTTATGTGGGGATTGCTGGGTCCTCAATTGCTCGTCTTCAACTTGTTCAAAATGCTGCTGCACGTCTTTTAACTGGCACACGCAAGTACGAGCACATTTCACCTGTTTTAGCTTCACTCCACTGGCTGCCCATCCATTTTAGGATTAATTTTAAAATTCTTTTATTTACTTTTAAAGCCTTGAATGGCCTTGCCCCAATTTACCTCTCTGAGCTTCTGCACCCCTACACTCCCAGCCGATCTCTCAGGTCAGCTGATCAGCTGCTCCTGACAGTGCCTAAAGCAAGGCTTAAGCTCAGAGGGGATCGAGCGTTTTCTGTTGCAGCTCCAAAACTCTGGAATGGATTGCCGCTGCACATTAGACAGGCCACCTCTCTGTCTCATTTTAAAACTCTTCTTAAAACCCACCTCTTTTCTTTGGCTTTTAACACCATGTAGAGTGTTGATTTTATGTACACATGTTGATTTTATGTACACATGTTGATTTTATGTATACACATGCATATTTTTATCCTGTGCGGGCAGTGCTTTTATTTTATTTTATTTTATTACTTTTATTTATTTTAGTTATTTTATCTTTTTGTGCAGCACTTTGGAAACCTTGTGTTTATTTAAACCGTGCTATATAAATAAAGTGGATTGGATTGGATTGGATCACCTTTAATAGTGGCAGGAGCAGGTGGATCAGATGAGCAGTGATAAGAAACCAGCCAGAGTTAGACAGGTGAATGAAATGAGTAATTAAGCCAGTCATCATCGCCAAGATCATGACAACATTGGTATACAGTATGGTATGTGGCTGCCCTAACTCTACTAGGAAATAGTAAAGATAAATAGATCATTATCACTTACATCTGTTACATTTTTGTTTTTACTAAATAGTAATTTGGCCATTTTATTATTGAGTATTTTCATCACCATGTTGTCTGGGAAGTTTTGAATACCTCAATTATTTGTGTAAATTCTAACTACAGTATACATGTTACACAAGGCAAATCCAGTCTCCCTGGAGAAATGAGTTGAAAAACAGAGGAGAGAGATGGAAGATATGATGAGCATATACTTGGGGAAAATATAAATAAGTCACTTTCTGTAAACTAAACATTTGATCATCATCATTCCGGAATCATGTTTTAGTTCTATTCCTCTCTGTCGAAATCTCAGGGTCCTGCTGTAGGGTATACATTGTTCAAGAGGTAAACTAGAACAAGCAGCCTATTATACATTAACAGAACTTAAGGGATGCTGTACATCCAAACCTAACAGTATGCTAGGACTGTCACAAGAAAGTTTATTTTCATTCATAAGCTTCCTGTCCCTCTTGTTTGTTTTAAATAATTGAAGTCAATACTAACTTCATTAAATATTGTCATTCATTTAATCCTTTTGCTATGTTCAACCCTTTTCCTTGATACACTGTTATGATAACAACACATGTTAGACCAATGGTTGCAAAGCTGTATACAAAGTTAAGAGGAGAAGTAGAAAACATAAAAAGCATGAAATAATGTTGATGTTAAAGGGTATTTTCATGATTTAGGAATGTAGCTTATACAATAATTCACCATGTTCTACTTTACAGTCAACACAAAAAAATTACAAAATAAATAAATAATCAAACTAAATATGCTTGTAATATGGTAAGTTATTTCACAAAAGGTACAGGTATTCAAAAAGCATCTGGCAAACTTTTTTTTTAGAATGTTTAAGATTTATACTTCCACTGCCACATTCTCATATCTCATATCACATCATTACATCATATATGTGTAGTTTGTAAATGAAAATAATTCACCGGCTCCAACCTTATCAAGATAACACACAGTTGTCATGATTTTATCTAAGGCTCGGACCCACATGCAGTGAAGCCAAACAGAGAGACACAGAGTAAAAGTTCAGCGGGTTTTATTGAAATGAGATGAGCTCGGTGCAGAGTTTCTCCGAACTCTGCTCAGCCGGAACTGGAAGACGAGGGGAAGACAGACTGTTAGATTCAGGCTCAGTGGGAAATATGATTCATTGATCTTGAAGGAGAGGATTTGTTGCGACTCACGTTTTCAGAGAAGTGGAGAATCCTTGACTCCAATCTGTGTGTTGGTTTTCCAGAGTTTGTCTGATTCGGTGGAGGGCGGAAGAGGGTTTACCCAGAACTCGGACAATGAAGATTGATGCAGACGCTGGTTGCCACTCAGATTTCCTGTGGTACTTGAATGGGTAGTGGTGAAGATGATTTCCTTACTCAGTGAGTGATCTCAACGATCTCAGGCCCCGTCCACACGAAGACGAACCCTGGCCTAAACGCACAAATTTTTCACCAAACCAGCCTCTCATCCACACGAAGCCGGCGTTTCGGGGGTCTGTAAACGATCTTTTTTTTATTCAGCCTTCAGAGTGGGAAGATTTCGAAACGCCGTTTTCGCGTTTCCATCTTTACGCTCTAACCGCATATTTTTTTTTACACGCATGCGTCATAGCGTCGCCTCTAAACACGCATGCGCGACGCATCACAACAACAATGGCGCCGTTGCTGCTAATGCTACTCACCCTGCTGTCGGGCTTACAACAGAATCTTCTTCTTCTGGAATATCTCCAGGAAGAACAGAGCAATATTGACGACATAGTTCAGCACCTGAATTTGACTTAACCACGAAAATGGACCCGCAGGGCAACCATGTATAAATATTAGTGCGCATGCCCAACATTTCGTCGCTTATTTTTGCTTTGGCACCACAGCGCCACTTACAGGCCTTGCATACATTTTGCAGCGTTTTCATGCATTCGTGTGGACGCTCACATTTATTTTACGTCTCCGTCTTTACGGCAAACTTTTTGGAAAATATCAGCGCTTCGTGTTCGTTTTGACTTCGTGTGGACGGGGCCTCAAAGGTGGCTGGATCCAAACCTCCTGTTTGGAATCCGTCGCTCAGTCTAAGGCTCAGTTGATCCCTCCTGGGAGAGGCGGTCAGAAAAGGTACAATTTGCAGGAAGTCTTCCTGCCGAAAGGCAAAGACAAAACAAAGTTGAATCTCAGGGAGACAAGCACTCAGTCAACTCAATGAGATCTCAGCTTGGCTAGAGTACAAAAAACTCGCAATACAAAAACTCAGATTAGACTCAGAATAAACAAAGCTTGGCTAGGGTACCCCCAAACTGGCAAACACTCTGGCGTTGAGGTAGTGGCAACCAGCAGCTTAAGAACAGTCTGGTGATGAGGTAACTGTCCGCAGGTGTGTGAGGAGGCGGACCGGAACCAGGCGCCTCCTGGTGGTGGAAGGGAGAAAAACACAAAGACAAGACAAACAGACAAACACAAAAACTGGAGTCCTTACAACAGTGTTTTTAGATCTAGGATACCGTAATCCAAATGCACACTGTCAGAGCTTTCTATTAACAAGTCCCTACCCTGTCTATATGCACCCTTTTAATTTCCATACCTTTGTTACTTATTAAAAGTTAAAGATGATTAATTTTTATCCTGACAGAATAACTTTCCCAATAAGATAAACTGCTTGGAAAACATTAGTCTTAACATGTAACAGGCAGGTGTTATTTGGGTTTAATAAGCCCATATATGAATTATAATAATAATAAATAAAATACTCTATGTCCCAAAGTAGGACAGGACCCTAAAGTTGGAAAGTGCCCCCTAGTCTACCAAACCTTTCTCCCAGCAAGACCATGTCAGAATGATGAACACTGTCCTGGACAGGAAAATGTTGTAGCTTTCCGAGTGGATCTCACTGTTCTCCTCCAATTATAAGTAAGAGACCCATGTATTCATTCTGTTTAATATTTGCAGTCAAAATTTTAATTTTTTTAATATTCAGTAACGTTTCAACAATTAATTTCAATCACAATGTTTCTTATTCTTTCTTCTCTACTTTTGTCTTTTCTCTCAGCTAACCCAGCTTGTCCAAATACGGAAGGAAGAGTTGGTCCATGTGTTCAACTCTGTTCCAGTGACAATGATTGTCCAACTGGTGAAATATGCTGCTCCAATGGATGTGGGCACACATGCATTAGGACAGGTACATGCTGGACAACAAGAAAGCGGTTTGCATTAAACCTGATGTTGGTGTGGGTCTGGAGTAAAATTCTGCATGAAATCAACAAAAAAAAAAAAAAGCTAGCATCAAACAAGACTTGAGCCACAATGAGTTAAAATTCAAGCTTAAACCTGTGCAGTGTTAAATGTAAATGATGGATGGTTGAGCATAAAGCAGTCTGTTTCCAAATTTCCCTAGTGTCCTTATCAAATATCAGGCTAACTGATCAGTCGGAGTCTCATATGGTCTCCTCCAAAGCCCCTTTGCTTGTCCATGTGGTCCAATGGTGTGTAGATGCTGAATCACATGGTGGTCCTCATGATGTGCCCTCATCACAGTCCAAAGTTCTATAATTTGTGCCTTGAGGACGATCCAATGAACAATAGAATGCAATTAGTGTTCTTATTAAGATCAGCACTGTCTTAACTGAGTAGTTCATCATTTGCCATAAACTATAAACACTTGCCAGTATACTTTGATCTAAATCAAATAAATATGAGAAAAAGATGAGAAAAAAATTCTCAGAAGAAAGTTGGTTTCCATTCATAAGCTTTACTATCTTTTCATCAACACCAGAAGGCCTTGTCTCTCCTCAGAATCTCCTGGCCAAAGGTTTGCCCAAGTCTAGCCCTGATTCATACCCATGACATTTAAAATCATTAAGCAGATCAGTTCAATCCGTTTTTATTTTAACCCAATGCTTAAAATATTACGTTTCCTTCCCTCTCATTTGTTTTAAATATTGAAGTCAATCCTAACTTCATTAAATATTGCCGTTTATTTAACCCTGTTACTATGTTCAACCCTTTTCCTTGATACACTGTTATAACAACACATGTTAGACCAATGTTTGCTAAGCTGCATACAAAGTGAAGAGGAGAAGTATAAAACATAAAAAGCATGAAATAAAGTTGATGTTAAATGATATTTTCATGATTTAAGCATGTAGCTTGTACAATAATTCACCTTGTTCTACTTTACAGTCAACACAAAATTACAAAATAAATAAATAATCAAAATAAATATTCTTGTGATGTGGTACAGTAAGTTATTTCATAAAAGGTACATGTATTTAAAAAGCATCTGGCAGACTTTTTTTTGAGAATGTTTAAGATTTATACTTACACTGCCACATTGTCACATCTCATATCATCACATCATTACATCATAGATGTTTAGTTTGTAAATGAAAATAATTCACCGGCTCCAATCTTATCAAGATAATACACAGTGTTTTTAGATCTAGGATAATACAAATGCACACTGTCAGAGCTTTCTATTAACAATTGCCAACCATGTCTATATGCAACCTTTTAATTTCCAAACCTTTCTTACTTATTAAAATTTAAAGATGATTACTTTTTATCCTGACAGAATAACTGTCCCAATAAGATAAACTGCTTGGAAAACATTAGTCTTAACATGTAACAGGCAGGTGTTATTGGGGTTTAATAAGCACATATATGAATAATAATAATAATAATAATAATAATAATAATAATAATAATAATAATAATAATAATAATAATAATAATAATAATAACAATAATAATAATAATAATAACAATAACAACAACAATAATAAAAATAATAATAATAATAATAATAATAATAATAATAATAATAATAATAATAATAATAATAATAATAATAATAATAAAAATACTCTATGTCCCAAAGTAGGACAGGACCCCAAAGTTGGAAAGTGCCCCCTAGTCTACCAAACCTTTCTCCCAGCAAGACCATGTCGGAATGATGAACACTGCCCTGGACAGGAAAAATGTTGCAGCTTTGGCAGTGGATCTCTCTGTGCTCCTCCAATTATAAGTAAGAGACACATGTATTCATTCTGTTTAATATTTGCAGTCCAAACTTCACATTTTTTAAGATTCAGTAACGTTTCAACACTTAAGTTCAATCACAATGTTTTTTATTCTTTCCGCTCTGCTTTTGTCTTTTCTCTCAGCTAACCCAGCTTGTCCAAATACAGAAGGAAGAGTTGGTCCATGTGTTCAACTCTGTTCCAGTGACAATGATTGTCCAACTGGTGAAATATGCTGCTCCAATGGATGTGGGCACACATGCATTAGGACAGGTACATGCTGGACAACAAGAAATCATAAGTTGCATTAAACCTGATGTTGGTGTGGGTCTGGAGTAAAATTCTACATGTTTAATTTTCCTGCATGAAAAAAAATAAAATAAAACTAGCATCAAACAAGACTTGAGCCACAATGAGTTAAAATTCAAGCATAAACCTGTGCAGTGTTAAATGTAAATGATGGATGGTTGAGCATAAAGCAGTCTGTTTCCAAATTTCCCTAGTGTCCTTATCAAATATCAGGCTAACTGATCAGTCGGAGTCTCATATGGTCTCCTCCAAAGCCCCTTTGCTTGTCCATGTGTTCCGATGGTGTGTAGATGCTGAATCACATGGTGGTCCTCATGATGTGCTCTCATCACAGTCCAAAGTCCTATAATTTGTGCGTTGAGGACGCTCCAATGCACAATAGAATGCAATTAGTGTTCTTATCAAGTTCAGCACTGTCTTAACTGAGTAGTTCATCATTTGCCATAAACTAGAGTGCAGCTACAACCAGATATTCTTATCCACAATTGCGGTCATTTTAGCTTTTAAGCCGGCACTAAAAATCATCCATCCATCCATTTTCTGGCACGCTTAATCCCAGTTGGGGTCGCGAGGGGTGCTGGAGCCTATTTCCAGCTGTCTGTGGCCGAGAGGCGGGGTACACCCAGGACAGGTCACCAGTCCATCGCAGGGCACTAAAATCATTGCATTTAAATGATCTGACATCTGAATGTATATTTGGTAGCATGTTTTAATCTTGAATCAGAGAACATCAAATATCTCTTATGGTGCGTTCACACCGGGGGCAGCAAAAGCAGCAAAATCGCGTCTGCTGCTTCATTTTTGCTGCTTGTACCAGTTAGTTCTGACGCGCGGCTGAAGCAGCTTTGCTGCTCTTCCTGCGCGGTCCAAAAGTGGCTCTGACGCGCGTTGGGCGGAGCTTCACTATCCTTTCTCTGCCTTGCAGCTATATTTGCTGTGATCAGTGGGAATAAAGTAGTTTTAATATGTTTTTAAGTGAGAAAATACACCTGAAAACTTCATCAGTGCAGTCAGTTCATCCAGATTACGATCCTGCCTCCCAATATTATTTCTGTCGGAGCCGCTCAGACCCCCACATACCGGCGGTGCGCCGACAGAAGGAATCCATTCATCAGCAGCCTCTGGCGGGTCGCCTCCTCGCGGTTTACCGCGGCGGCTGGTAGGTGTTTTTTCATCTAAATAATCCGATCTGCAGGCACCACAATAATAAAAGCGAACATATTCTGCCGGCAGATGTATATATTTTAAGTTAATTATGCGTTAATAAACTGTTTAAGAGGAGTAATCAGAGCGGTCTGTGTCATCAGCGCTGTGTCTCTCTCCCAGCCAGCTCCCAGATCAGCTTCTCTGATTGGTTGACGCGGCGCGTCGAGCAGCAAAAATTCAATTTTTCCATCTCGAGCAGCAACGCGTTTGCGGCGCGTCACGCGCGTCAGATGCCAAAACGCGCCCGACGCGCTGCTTCAGCTGCTCAGACGCGCTGCGCCTGCTGCTCAAAACGCGCCGCAGGACCTTTTGCTGCGCCTTGATGCGCGTCAACCATTGACTTTGCATGTAAACTCGCTGCTTCTGTCGCGCCAGCTGCCCCCGGTGTGAACGCAGCATTACCTTTCAATGCCTGGAAGTTGACAGTCATCTGTAACAGAATGCAATCATCCTTCCCAGCCTATGGATGTTGTTCAGTATTCTTGATCTAAGCTCAAATCATTGCATTTAGTACAGATGAATGCTGTTTATGAATCTACACAGAAGCTGTAAAGAAATCTATAGATATAAGGGAAAAGAAATTGAACATTTGATTCATGGAAAATCCAATGAACATTTAAAAAATAACTTTATACTGAACCCTACAGCTTGACACAGCAAATTAAGCATAGTTTTTTTGGCAACGTTATACCTGCATTCTTATTTTACTCTAATTCGTTGCCGATTTTAGGTGATTAAAAAAAGTTTTTTAGTTTCTAAGAACTCCACTATGGGTCATCTGTTTCTAATTCTCTCCTTTAAAAGTTCCTCAGCAGCCTTCCCCCCCAAACATCAGACGTCATTTAGACGTTTGCTTTTAGGCTAAGTCTGGTCACGCCGTCATAGTCTTGATTTAGTGCATAGATAGTTGTTGAGAATTGGGCTGTGTTCAGTGGGTCTGATTTTGTCCCACTTTAGTCCACTTATGCTAATATAAACACTTGCCAGTATACTTTGATCTAAATCAAATAAATATGAGAAAAAGATGAGAAAAAAATTTCTCACAAGAAAGTTTGCTTCCATTCATAAGCTTTACTATGTTTTCATCAACACCAGGAGGCCTTGTCTCTCCTCAGAATCTCCTGGCCAAAGTTTTGTCCAAGTCTAGCCCTGATTCATACCCATGACATTTAAAATCATTAAGCAGATCAGTTCAATTCGTTATTTTATTTGTACCCAATGCTTAAATTATAACATATTAATCCTTCCCTCTCATTTGTTTTAAATAATTGAAGTCAATACTAACTTCATTAAATATTGCCATTCATTCAACCCTATTACTGTGTTCAACCCTTTTACTTGATGCACTGTTATGATTTTTGATAACAAAACATTAGACCAACGTTTGCTAAGCTGTATACAAAGTTAAGAGGAGAAGTGGAAAACATAAAAAGCATCACTAATGTCTATTAAAGTTCATGATAATGATGTATGAAAAACTTGGAAAAACATTAGACATGTAACAGGCAGGTGTTATTGCGGGTTGATAAACACATATGAATTATAATTATATAAATACTCTATGTCCCAAAGTAGGACAGGATCCCAAAATTGGAAAGTGCCCCCTAGTCTTCCAAACCCTTCTCCCAGGAAGACCATGTCAGAATGATGGACACTGCCCTGGACAGGAAAAATGTTGTAGCTTTGCCAGTGGATCTGTCTGTGCTCCTCCAATCATAGGTAAGAGACACACGTATAAATTCTGTTTAATATCTGCAGTCAAAATTGTAATTTTTTTTTAAGATTCAGTAACGTTTCAACACTTAAGTTCAATCACAATTTTTTTTTATTCTTTCTTCTCTGCTTTTGTATTTTCTCTCAGCTAACCCAGCTTGTCCAAACACAGATGGAAAAGTTGGTCCATGTGTTCAACTCTGTTCCAGTGACAATGATTGCCAATCTGGGGAAATATGCTGCTCCAATGGATGTGGGCACACATGCATTAGAACAGGTACATGCTGGACAACAAGAAATCATAAGTTGCATTAAACCTAATGTTGGTGTGGGTCTGGAGTAAAATTTTACCATTTTCATTTTTCTGCATGAAATAAAAATAAAATAAAAACTAGCATCAAACAAGACTTGAGCCACAATGAGTTAAAATTCAAGCATAAACCTGTACAGTGTTAAATGTAAATGATGGATCGTGGAGCATAAAGCAGTCTGTTTCCAAATTTCCCTAGTGTCCTTATCAAATATCAGGCTAACTGATCAGTCAGAGTCTCATATGGTCTCCTCCAAAGCCCCTTTGCTTGTCCATGTGGTCCGATGTGTGTAGATGCTGAATCACATGGTGGTCCTCATGATGTGCTCTCATCACAGTCCAAAGTCCTATAATTTGTGCCTTAAAGACGCTCCAATGCACAATAGAATGCAATTAGTGTTCTTATCAAGTTCAGCACTGTCTTAACTGAGTAGTTCATCATTTGCCATAAACTAGAGTGCAGCTACAACCAGATATTCTTATCCACAATCGCGGTCATTTTAGCTTTTAAGCCGGCACTAAAAAACATCCATCCATCCATCCATCCATTTTCTGGCACGCTTAATCCCAGTTGGGGTCGCGAGGGGTGCTGGAGCCTATCTCCAGCTGTCTGTGGCCAAGAGGCGGGGTACACCCAGGACAGGTCACCAGTCCATCGCAGGGCACTAAAATCATTGCATTTAAATGATCTGACATCTGAATGTATATTTGGTAGCATGTTTTAATCTTGAATCAGAGAACATCAAATATGTCTTACCTTTCAATGCCTGGAAGTTGACAGTCATCTGTAACAGAATGCAATCATCCTTCCCAGCCTATGGATGTTGTTCAGTATTCTTGATCTAAGCTCAAATCATTGCATTTAGTACAGATGAATGTTGTTTGTGAATCTACACAGAAGCTGTAAAGAAATCTATAGATATAAGGGAAAAGAAATTGAACATTTGATTCATGGAAAATCCAAAGAACATTTTAAAAATAACTTTATACTGAACCCTACAGCTTGACACAGCAAATTAAGCATAGTTTTTTTGCTAAAGTTATACCTGCATTCTTATTTTACTCTAATTCGTTGCTGATTTTAGGTGATTAAAAAAAGTTTTTTAGTTTCTAAGAACTTCACTATGGGTCATCTGTTTCTGATTCTCTCCTTTAAAAGTTCCTCAGTAGCCTTCCCCCCAAACATCAGACGTCATTTAGACGTTTGCTTTTAGGCTAAGTCTGGTCAGGCCATCATAGTCTTGATTTAGTGCATAGATAGTTTTTGACAACTGGGCTGTTTTCGGTCGGTCTGATTTTGTCTCACTTTAGTCCACTTATGCTAATATAAACACTTGCCAGTATACTTTGATCTAAATCAAATAAATATGAGAAAGAGATGAGAAAAAATTTCTCACAAGAAAGTTGGTTTCCATTCATAAGCTTTACTATCTTTTCATCAACACCAGGAGGCCTTGTCTCTCCTCAGAATCTCCTGGCCAAAGTTTTGTCCAAGTCTAGCCCTGATTCATACCCATGACATTTAATGTTGACCAATGTTTGCTAAGCTGTATACAAAGTTAAGAGGAGAAGTGGAAAACATAAAAAGCATCACTAATGTCTATTAAAGTGCATTTAATGATATATGAAAAACTTAGAAAAACATTAGACATGTAACAGACAGGTATTATTGGGGGTTGATAAACACATATGAATTATAGTAATAATAAAGATACTCTATGTCCCAAAGTAGGACAGGATCCCAAAATTGGAAAGTGCCCCCTAGTCTTCCAAACCCTTCTCCCAGGAAGACCATGTCAGAATGATGGACACTGCCCTGGACAGGAAAAATGTTGTAGCTATGCCAGTGGATCTGTCTGTGCTCCTCCAATCATAAGTAAGAGACACACGTATAAATTCTGTTTATTATCTGCAGTCAAAATTTTTAATTTTATAAGATTCAGTAACGTTTCAACAATTAAGTTCAATCATAATATTTTTTATTCTTTATTCTCTGCTTTTGTCTTTTCTCTCAGCTAACCCAGCTTGTCCAAACACAGATGGAAAAGTTGGTCCATGTGTTCAACTCTGTTCCAGTGACAATGATTGCCCAACTGGTGAAATATGCTGCTCCAATGGATGTGGGCACACTTGCATTAGAGCAGGTACATGCTGGACAACAAGAAAGCATAAGTTGCATAAAACCTAATGTTGGTGTGGGTCTGGAGTAAAATTTTACCATTTTCATTTTTCTGCATGAAATCAAATAAAAATAAAAACTACAGTAGCATCAAACAAGACTTCAGCCACAATGAGTTAAAATTCAAGCACTTTCTATATGTGGTGAACTCAAAGCCATATGTCAAGATTCTTGCCTGTGACGAGTTCCTCTTCTGGAATGAATGCCATCACATTTTCACTGTTAGAAACAAACTTGTGGAGTCTTAATTTCCCAGTGTGGCAAAGTTCTCTTGCTTTTTCAACAAGCTGAATTACTTCCTTTTCCGATGGCATGCTTGCCAAACAGTCATACACATAGAAATTTCTTTGAATGAAGCTTATGGCATCTTTACTGACCTTACCGCACCCTTGTGCAGCCAGATATTTTAAGCCGAAGTTGGCACAGCCGGGAGATGAGGCTGCTCGAAAAAAGTGGACTTTCATTCTGTAGACCAATGGTGTGGTTTCCAAGTTGCCATTCTCCCACCATAATAATCTTAAAAAGTCTTGATCCTCCCTTTTCACGTGAAACTGGTGGAACATTCTCTCAACGTCACACATGACTGCGACGGAACCCTGCCGGAAGCGGCACAGGACTCCCACCAGAGTATTCGTCAAATCAGGACCTGTGAGTAGATGGTCATTGAGAGCCGTTGCTTGAAACTTGGCAGAACAGTCAAATACTACACATATTTTTCCTGGCTTTTGTGGATGATAGACTCCATGATGTGGAATGTACCACACTGTACTGCTGTCAATTTCTTCCTCAGGAACTTCCTCTGCATCACCACAAGATATTATGTCATCCATAAACTTAACATAGTCTCCGTAGTAGTTTTCATCTTTCTTCAGTCTCCTCTCAAGACAATTTAGGCGATGTATTGCACATGGCTTGTTGTTAGGCAAGTTTGATCTTCCATCTTTAAATGGTAATGGCATTTCAGAATGACCATTTTCCTTTTGTGTGATGTTTTCTCTCAGTGTTAATAGAAACTTGAAATCCTCTTGGGACATAAGATCATCATCTCCAACTCTTTCTGAGAAGTCTGACTCAAGGACTCTTATGATGTCTGAGGGAGTGATCTCCTTCACTTTGTTTCGGTTCACATAGTGTACTTCAGTTTTAAGCTTGACAGAAGGCTCAATTCCTAGTGTGTCACTTGTCTCACTACTATGTGATGACTGATCCCAAAGGCATCACCATAATCTAGACAGGGATTTTCCATAACCAACAACACTCCATCCAAGGTCAGTGCGTTGTGCATAAGGCTGATTTTCTTGGCCAAACACAACATCCCTTGGGAGTAGGGAATCTCCTTCTGGAATATTTCCATCCAGTCAACTTGAGGCTCTGTAAACTATGTACTTTGAGATCTCTACACACAGATCCACTCTTTGACAGGTCTCTTGATCTGGAGTTGAGACTTTGCGAAGTTCATCCTAAGTTTTTTGGACATCTGCAGAAAGACCTGTTACATCACCAATAATATCGTTCAGCAGATCCTGAGATAAAGGCTCTGATGATAGTGATAATGGCTGCTTGGCAGATTTGACATGTGTTCTCCATTTGTCATAAATGTAGTTAAACCTTTGTTGAAGTACTTTTATCTTTTCAACTTGCATCTCTTTTCCCTTCTCAGTAATAGTTATTCTTTGACTTTGTCTCAGTTGCTTCTCTTGCTGGGCTTCTTCAGATTGGATTGGATATTTGGAATTTGCACTCTCGCTAACCTCACCCCTTTCCTGAGTTGCAGAACGACTTGGATTTGACATCTTTCAATCACTGTCTTAAACCGACCAATGTGTAAACATAAATAGTGGGGTAACACTTACATCAATATCACTTTCTAATCCCATGTAAATGTAATTTAAATGAGATGACCTTGCAGTTTACACGTGGCAAAATATGCTCCATGTCAATATTTCAAAACATAGTACTATGGAAATGTCCAAAAACAGTATATGAACTGCTTGGAAAACTACAACCTTCAATATCGAATAGCAAAAACCTTAAATTATTACCTTCAAAAATACACTTTAAAGTTTCAATGTGGAAATTTCTACAAGAAATTCTTTTTGGCTCTGTCTTTAAAACGTTGCACTTGAAGATTAGATGCGTGTTCTTACTTCTTTCCGTGGCATATCATCCTGCTTCTGTCTGACTTTGCTGCTGCATGCACTGTAGACACGTTCTCACCGCTCGGCTAATCTGGTCTGACTTTGCTGCCGCATATTTGAACATATGTATAAAACAGTATAAACAACAATTACAGTGTATCTGTGTGTATATATCTTATCTGTGTGGATGTATCTTTCTATGTGGACCTGTGCATCTACATATGGGAAACTATTCAGGACCAAAACTGGTCCTGGCAAAGAAAGTCTGTCTTGGAGCATTGATCTCTCCAACAGATCCAAACAGTTTTTCTCAATGTTAGCATTAGTTCATCACGAGGAAGATCCGCCAACCTTCTTTTACTACAGCAGCTTTTAACCACAAGGGTTTTGGGGCCTGAGTGTCCAACACCACCTGTTAGATAGGTATTTAGCTGCGGCATCAGTGTCATAGAGGCAGAATAGGCAGTGTATTGAAAAATGGGATTCTCCACTGCTGGTGGAATGTTATGTTTAGATGTACTTCATTTTTCTTTTCAGTGCCCTAATTTTACTAGCCTGACGTAGTCCGACTCAATTCTAGTCAGAATATGAGTCTGATACTGCTCCATAGAGCTGTGGTTATGGGGCGTGTTTCGAACGAACCAGGAAAAAAAATGCCTCTGTACTCAATTGGATAGACCTACAACCAATAAGAGCAACGGAGTGCGTGACGTATGTTAAGCGAGGCATAGTTGTTGTCCACAAAAATCAAAGCGTGCAGTTTCACGCCTAGAATAAGAAGATGAGACTTGATCGCGTTTCTCTGTTCCTCTTTTAAAATTAATTTGCTGTCGATATCTTCTAGAACAGACCTAATAGCAGAATCTACTCACCCAAACTCTCCAGCGGCAGCCATTATTGTTGTCACCCAAGCGCGCTTTGGTCACATGGTTGATAACGTTACTTTTGACCATCTGTCCATCATCGTATAAAGCCCGCCCTGACAATTTGATTGGATCACCTGACAGTGGGCGATAATACTCGCGCTACTATGGAGCAGAGCCAGACCGAACTTCCCGAACTCAAACCTTGTGGGCGGGACTAAGTTCGGACTGGCACCCAGGCTATAATTTTACCACAGTCCAAACAGAAATTAAACAATTGACCTCACTCCTTATTCCATCAGTCAAATAAGTCCTTCTCCTAGTCCCTTTTAGCTGATCATTATTTCAAACAAAACTGAAAATTGAATGAATACTGGCCATTCCACAAAAAATATCTGGAAAATCCTGTATTTCCCTTTTGGACCTCTTTGTTGTTGTTGTTTTTTTTTTTTGTTTTTTTTAAGGAGAAGGTTGGTCATTTTCAAACCAAGCATGTCTTTCTTTCTTTTTAGGAAAGTTTTAGCCTTTTATGAAGTCTCATGGTGCTGTAAACTTAATGTTTCCCCATGGCAGCAAATTATTTACTCTGTTTTATGAAAGTAAATAGTCTCCATTACCAAGCCAGGGTGCTTGTCTCTCTCTATTTCAGGAAGCTTACTTTATTTCTTGCAATCAGAAAAGGAAACAAAAGTCCCTTTCTGCTTGTTGTAGGATCTGAAACCAACTTCTCTCCCCATCCACCAAACCTTTGACAGCTGATGAGATTGAACTGGACTTTCAACTGTGGTGGAAAAGCATTGCATTCTATTCACTTTCTTTTCTGTCACTTTCTTTTTTTTTTTCTTGTCTTAAAAAAATGGCTATGAATTTTTTTCTTTGTGAAATTTCTCTATCACTGAAGATATAGCGAAAATAAATCAGCTCACTTTAGAAAAAGCCACACAGCCAGTGTTTCAGGGTCAATCCTCAAACACAATAAACCACAGATCACCAAAAAGATGTTCCCAAAAAAGAGCAAACCACATAAAGTGTTTAAAAATGAGGAACTGAAATAACCATTTCTGTCTGTCTTAATCAGATAACCTGCTTGGGAAAACATTAACCATAACATGTAACAGGCAGGTATTATTGGGGTTTGATCAGCACTTACCTTAATAATAATAATAAATAATTAATATGGAACTGCATTTTTTTTTTCTTTTTAATGATGCCAAGTTGTTTGAAATACTCTATGTCCCAAAGTTGGAGAGGACCCTAAAGTTGGAAAGTGCCCCTTAGTCCACCAAACCTTTCTCCCAGCAAGACCATGTTTGAACGATGGACACTGCCCTGGACAGGAAAAATGTTGTAGGTTTGCCGGTGGATCTGCCTGTGCTCCTCCAATTATAAGTAAGAGAGACTGGTATAAATACTGTTTAGATGCAGTGAAGTTGCAATACTCAAGCTCAATTACAATGTTTGTTTTTTTCTTTCTTCTCTGCTTTTGTCTTTCCTCTCAGCTAATCCAGCTTGTCCAAACACAGATGGAAAAGTTGGTGCATGTGTTGAACTCTGTTCCAGTGACAGTGACTGCCCAACTGGCGAAATATGCTGCTCCAATGGATGCGGGCACACATGCATTAGAACAGGTACATGCTGGACAAGAAGAAAGCAAAAGTTGCATAAAACCTGATGTTGGTGTGGGTCTGGAGTAAAATTGTACCTTTTTTTGTTTTTCTGCATAAAATATAACCCAAAATACAAACTAGAACCAAGGAACACTTGAATCACAGTGGTTTAAAACTCAAGCATAAACCTGGTCAGAGTTAAGGGTAAATGATGAATAGTTGATGATAAAGCAATCTGTTTTTAAATTTCCTGTGTCTTTATCACATACAAGCTAACTTCACAACTGATCAATCAGTGTCTCGCATGGTCTCCTCTATAGCCTCTTTGGATCTCCATGTGGTCTGATGGCGTGTAGATGCTGAATCCACAACCCACAGTCCAATAATTTGTTTATTCAGGATGCTCCAACACACAATAAAATCCAATTAGTGTTCTTATCAAGATCAGCACGTTCTTTACTGAGTAGCTCATAATTTACCCAGAACTAGAGTGCAGCTACAGCCAGTGTTGTTTTTGACAGCCATCTTAGATTTATTCTTAGTCTTCAGGATGAAAACCTTTTTTATTTGTTTTAGTCACATCACGGTTTTAGTCTAGTTTTACTCAGTTTTATGTTGGAAAAAAAAAGTTAACCTTTACAAATTTCAATAACAACCATATTCTTTACAAGACTGTAGATACTACAAGTACTGGAGATACAATGCTGCTGTGCAGTTCATCATTGCTTTTGGGCAGAAAACTTTGATTTGTAGAATTCAAATACTTTTTTTTATGAATTAATGCTCTACTTTATAAAAAAAAGTGTCTCACAGAAGTTGCGAAAAAAAGATTATCTAGTTCAAAACATCATATTGGTTAATATAGCAATCAGATAAGCTAACAGAATGTAAAATAAAGGAATGGTTTTAGACATACAGTACAAGGTTTCCATTCAAAAGCAAACACTTCCAGATCTACTATGAATAATGCATTACACACAGATCAATAAAATCTTCATTGCTCCAAAAAAGCAAAGAACAAAAACATTCTTCTGTCTACGTTGAAATTTTGGCTTTGTTTCTGAAAATTTGACCCTTGGTTACTACTGCTCAGGGTTAAAAGTAGATTTAAATTCACAGGGTTTCGATAACAAAAAATAAATAAATAAAATACAGCGAGAACCTACATAATTGCCTTGCAATGCCATGCTAATCCAGACCTAAACTAAACGAATGTGCTAACTAAAATGTTGACATATTCAAAGGAAACATAGAACATATACAAGGTAATATTTATATCATATTTAGTAGATAGAAACGAGAACAATGAGAGAGAAATATTACAAGATCTATGTACCTTTTCACCTGGGTCTTTACCCAAAAATAAAAAATAAAAATAAATAAACAGAATGCAATGAAATAATTTATTTGGATATAATTTAGGGATTCCTTTTGGTCAAAATTCAAGAAAGTTTAACATCCCCTCTTGTGAGCTTGAAAAGATAAAATCTTGATAGTTGGACAAAGGCATTTTTCACGCTTGGCAGAGGATGATCAGTCACATAGTTTATTAAGTAGCGAGAGCAGAATAAGCCATACTGCTGAGAGTGAACCATCAGTGTGGAGCATAAAGTGCAGTTGAAAGAGCAGTTTGTTAGAGTGGAGCATGCAGTACCAGACCATTCCAGGTTATTTTGTCCCCTGCTGCTGCTGTCATGATCCATCTGTGATCATGCAGAACGAGCACCACTGCACGCCAGGTGGGCTGCATCACCAAACAGGATGCAGCAGCACAACTGATACTGCTTAGCAGATTACAGCATAATGATGCATTTTAAATGTTTGACGGACCACCCGCTAACTTTTATTTAGTCTTGTCTCATCTCGTTGATGAAAACTAAAACCTATACCTAGTTTTGTTTTTGTCAGTGTTCGTTGAAAAAAGGAGCATCAACGGAATAATTTTGTCATGGTCATCATTGACGAAAACAACACTGGCCACAAAAAGATATTCTTTTCCACAATTACTGTCATTTTAGCCTTGAAGCTGATCAGAACAAACTGGACTTTCAACTGTGTTGGAAAAGGACTTCACTCTCTTCAATTTCTTCTTTTGTCTTTGCGTCTTAAACTTTTTTTTGTCCTGTCTGCACACAACACTTGTGAAATATTTTCTTCATGCAGTTTCTCTATCATGGAAGGTATAGCCAAAATAAATGAGCTCACTTCAAAACAACAACACAGCCAAAGTGCTTCAGGGTCACATCTCAAACAGAGTGCACCCCCTCTCCAACAGGTCACCACAAAGATCTTCCCATGCAGCAAACCATAAAAATTGCTTAAAAAAGAGAAATAGGGAAATATCAATGTGTTCATGCAATATAACACACAGAAATATTTTTATAATAATCTTTCTAACATTTTTAGTTGTTGAAACAAAGATGTCAGTAAAATGAATATTTGCATACTGAAAAAATGTTTGGTTTTCTCTGAAAATAAAACTAATAAAAAGGTTACAAACATCTGATAATATAAACACTTACCAGTCCATCCAAAAATCTAAAAAGAAATATCAGGAATAATATGAGGAAAAATACATGAATTACCAATAAAATCACTATTTTTAATGATGTCTCCAAGTTATGTTTAACCCCATCAACAATATTGGTCAATTACCATTTTTAAAGGGGACACAGTACCATTTAGTTTAAAAAAACTTTTGGTAAAATGTTCTTGAGGGCCATTGGTAATTCATCAGCCTATAGGTTGTAGTTATGGCATTGGTATATGGTAAGGAGCTGCCCTAGCTTTACTTGGTAATAGTAAAGATAAAAATAGATCACCTTTGTAACATTATCCCTTTTAACTGGGTTATTTTTGTTTTTACTAATACTGACATGATTCTGGATTGACCCGTAATCAGGCACATTTACGGACTCCAAGACAAAGAAATATTTAACAAATATATTTAATGATAAAAATTTTGATTTGAATCAGCCGTTCGTCTGGAGGGGATCTGTGAAGGGAAGGAGATGATGAGAGTTTAATAGTTGTTTATCCTTTTGCATTGGAGATAGCAATGGCTTACTGGTTCCAAGAGAGAGATGAAACCCAGGAGGGGAACTGCAGAGGTTCTGCAGGAGGAATCCGAGGGGTGAAGGTTTGGTGGTGGACAGAATAGACTGTGGACAGTCTTTTTCCAAACTTGGATCTGATCACACGTGCACAGCTGTAGGGAGCCAGAGATTCTGCCGGAGATAAGCGGAGCTGAAATCTCAGAGACTGACAGGACAGGATGAATTAATGAGCTCAGAAGAACTGTCCTAATCGCATACACTGCTAGGGAAAACATTAGCTTTAAGATGTAAAAGACAGATATATCACTAGGGTTTGATAAGCACATATATGAATAATAATAAACATAAAAAATAAGCCTAACAATATAGAAGTGCTATTGTTTTTTTTTTCTTTTTATTGATGCCATGCTGTTCGCAATACTCTAAATCCCAAAGGAGGACAGGACCCCAAAGTTGGAAATTGCCCCCTAGTCTTCCAAACCCTTCTCCCAGCAAGACCATGTCTTAATGATGGACACTGCCCTGGACAGGAAAAATGTTGTAGCTATGCCAGTGGATCTGTCTGTGCTCCTCCACTTATAAGTAAGAAACACTGATAAAAGTTCTGTTTAAAATTTACTGTTAAAACCTTACATTTTTTAATATCGAGTAAAGTTTCAACACTTATGTTCACTCATAATGTTTTTTGTTTTTATTCTTCGCTGCTTTTGTCTTTTCTCTCAGCTAATCCAGCTTGTCCAAACACTGATGGAAAAATTGGTCCATGTGTTGAACTCTGTTCCAGTGACAGTGACTGCCCATCTGGTGGGATATGCTGCTCCAATGGATGCGGGCGGACATGCATTAGAATAGGTACATACATACAGTTTTAGCATTAACTACAATTGGGGTCTCATCTAATTAAATAAAGGTTGCTTTAGTTTCCTTCGCACACATTATTTTAATTTACATTAAACTGGGTAACCTAACCATAAATTTTTTTTACCCATTATTTTAATTTACATTAGACTGGGTAACCTAACCCTATATTCTAATATGGCCAGATTTAAATACTCTCATCCCCACCCGGAGGCCTCCTAGGTGTGACCGCTCATTATGGACGAGCTCTATGCTCTATGCTAATCTGTCAAAGAAGACCCCGCTTTGAATCTGATAATTACAATTACCATCCAATTTTAAGGACTTTTTAAGCCTATCAGGATCTGGTTAATTTTATAAGTTGCTTAAAAACTGATGTTGGTGTGGGTCTGGAGTAAAAAGTTACCTTTCCCATTTTCCTGCATAAAAGCAAATCATAAAAAAAAAAAAAAAAAAAAGACGAATCACAATGACTTAGAATTCAAGCATACAGCTGGTCAGAGTTAGAGGCTAATTATGGATAGTTGAGCATTTAGCAGTCTTTTCCCAAATTTCTCTAGTGTCCTTATCAAATATCAGGCTAACTGACCAATTGGAGTCTCATATGGTCTCCTTCACAGCCCCTTTGGATCTCCGTGTGGTATAAAGGTGTGTAGAAGCTTTCATCTGGTTTGGTCTGCCGCGTTTTCCGTAGCGTCATGAACTCGCAGGCGCTCGCTTTCAGGAAATCCTATACACTACTGTTTATGCTCTAAAAACATTCTAAATGACTTCGTTTCGAGTAAATTATGGACGCTACCCACTCAGGACACTTGGAATACATTGGACGAGCAGTATGGAGGAATATTGACACGTTTTTTGTGGACTTTTATGGACCTTTCTGCCTCGGGCACCATAGACCTCCATTATTTGAATGTCAGCAGACAGCAAGAAAGCCTCCCAGATCTCCAGATGCATTTGAGATATCAAAAAAGTACTCCAGAGTGTTGTTCAGCATGGGGGTGAGTAGAAAATGAAGGCTAATCATGTTTTGGGTGTACTATTCCTTTAATGCAGATGAATGCAGTTTAAGGGGTCTACACTGAAGCTGTAAAGAAACCTATAGATATTTGGGAAAATATATTTAACATTTGATCCATGGATAATCAAAAGAACGTTTTAAAATTAACTTTATTCTGAACCCTACACCTCGCTACAGCAAATTAAGCATAGTATTTTGCTAAAGTAATAACCACATTCTTATTTTAGTGTATTCACTCTCAATTTAAAGTGCTCCCCTATGGGCCATCTGATTCTGATTCTCTCCTTTAAAAGTCCCTCAGCAACCTTAGTAGCTTTGAATGTCAGTGCATAAAAAAAATAAAAATAATAACTACCATGTTGAACTTTGAATTTGCCTATGTAACTTCATGTGTGTTAAGAACTGTGTGTAAATCCAACTCGGAACCTTTTTGCTTCAACTGTGCCGCCAAAGATAATATTACAATAATCTCTTACAAGTCACAACCCTTTAAAAGACCAAAACAAATATTATAATGACTTTTCAGTTAGATTAAAAATATTTATTCAGATGAAAAACTATTCAAACTGGATTCAAATTGAATTAGGTAGATGCAATTTATATATTTTGCAATTACATGTTAATATGATAAACACAACGGTTTATATTATATATTATAACATTATATTATTAAATATTGTATATCCATCCATCCATCCATCCATCCATCCATCCATCCATCCATCCATCCATCCATCCATCCATCCATCCATCCATCCATCCATCCATCCATCCATCCATCCATCCATCCATCTTTTTCCACTTATTCGGGGTCGGGTCACGGGGGGCAGCAGCTTCAGTAGGGAGACCCAGATGTCCCTCTCCCCAGCCACTTGGCCAGCTCCTCCGAGGGAATCCAAAGGCTTCCCAGGCCAGCCGAGAAACATTGACCCTCTAGCGTGTCCTGGGTCTCCTTCTGGGTCTCCTCCCGGTGGGATGTGCCCAGAAAACCTCACCAGGGAGGCGTCCAAGAGGAAGCCTAACCAGATGCTCGAGCTACCTCAACTGGCTCCTCTCGATGTGGAGGAGCAGTGGTTGTACCTTGTGTGTTCCCCGGAGGATTGAGCTCCTCACCCTATCTCTAAGAGAGAGCCCAGACACACTACGAAGAAACTCATTTCGGTCTTGTGTATCCGGAATCTCCTTTTTTCGTTCATGAGCCTAAACTCAAGACCATAGATGAGAGTAGGAATGTAGATCGACCGGTAAATCGAGAGGATTGCCTTTTAGTTTAGCTCTCTTTTCCCCACACCTGACTGGTACCGCACCAATCCGCCTGTCAATCTCCCTCTTTGTCTTACCCTCATTCGGGAACAAGACCCCAAGATACCTAAACTCCTCCGCTGGGGGCAGTATATCCTCCCCAACCCGGAGAAAGCAATGTACCCTGTTACATTTCAAGATTATCATCTCGGGTATGGAGGCACTGATCTCAATCCCAGCTGCTTCACACTCGGCTCCATACTACTCCTGTGAGAGTTGTAGATCACACCCTGATGAAGCCAATAGAACCACGTCATCCGCAAATAACAGACAGACGATCCTAAGGCCATCAAAACGGATCCCCTCAACACTTCGGCTGCACCTAGAAATTGTTTCTATAAAAGTTATGAACAGAATCATTGACAAAGTGCAACCTAGGCGGAGTCCAACTCTCACTGGAAACAAGTCCGACTTACTGCCGGCAATGTGGACCAGGCTCTTACTCTAGTCACACACACTGCATGAAAAGTGAGATTTTCGTCCCCGTAAACCCCCGTAAACTCTCGCAGATCTGCCTGATTTTCGTCAGTTTCCGACAATTTGCAACCCGTGCTTGTCCGCGTTTGTCGTGCCACAAATTGTCGGAAACGTACCATGACGTATGTGGAGAGCGATCAGCTGTACTAATGGCCCTAATTAGCATATGAACACAGCAAACCCGCGCGGCTGGCCAAGGTCTGGCTTGAATAACCTTCTCAGTATTGGCTGAAACCACTATTCTCAAACAAGTAAAATCGCTCGTGATTGGCAGCAAAACCACACGTGGCCACGCAAGGCTTTAATTTTCTTACTGAGTATTGGACGGAACCACTTCTTTTTAAACAAGTAAAGTCGCTCGTGATTGGTTGGCATATATATATATTTACATATAAATTTACATATATATATTTATTCATATATATATATATATATATATATATATATTCATTCATATATTTATTCATTCATATATTTATTCATTCATATGGTGTGTATTTATGTTATCCTACACTACTACACGATTATTATGCTACCATCAAGGACATGAATGAATTTATACAGGAAATGAACATTTGCCAGGAAGCTGTTTATGCAAAGAAAGAGCTTTATTAAAACAAACACAACTATATACAACGCATATCCAAACACATGAGTTTCTAAAAATTAAAAGTCTGTGAACGGTCCGTTTGCTTCCTCGGGGTTGGAGGTAACTGGCAGCATTCCCTAGGAGGCAGGTCCGATGTGCAGACGCCTACTGTGTGTGGCTCTGTACTTCGGCATCGCTTCTAACCGGGACTGCAGCTTAACACAGAGTTCAGTGAGATCCGGCCTACGAAATGGCGGCGACCGTACAATCCATCCAGAGACACCGCCGAGGAAGGCGGACTTCCAGAGTTCCACTTCCTCATCTGCTAGCACACTCTGCCTCGCTTTCAGCAGCTGAAAAAAAAAAAACAATGAATCAGCGCACTGCGTATGGGCACAACACATCTATTAATGCACCTGGAAAATAGTCACCAAATAAAGTCTTACCCTCTTTCTTCTGGCCCGACTCCGAGCAGATTGCCTCAGCATACAGCGTGTTGGCTGGCTGCGTATATCTGAAGCTCCTGCGTACCGTCTGAAAATACGTCTTACAGGCACCTGGAAAACAATTAAATGAGAGTGGTATAAATATAAAATCAAACGCAAGTCACAGTAACAAGGAAGGAGAAAACATTAAAACAAGTCACTTACACACAATGTCGTCTTTATCAACATCGTGCAAATCTGGACTTGCTGATTATGGCTCCGAGCAAATAGGAGGTCTGTGAAAACAAAATGTACAGCTATGATCGGTATCCATCCGTATCCATTGCCTTTTACCGCAGAATGAAAGCATATTCTTTAAATCTTACCCTTGCTCCGGTTCATAGCGCCTGCAATTAGTCTCCGAGTTGTTAAGATGGCGTACTGCTTCCTGTGAATCACAAAAAATACACTTTAATAAAGCTTGTTCTTGCAAGGCTACTATTAGCCGCTATTAGCCGTAGCTCAGGCTAGGCTGCTTTTAGCTTAGCAGGCAGTAATCGAACATATATTTACTGCTAGCATCTCTTCTTTGAGTTCGTCTTGTTCGATGCAGAGTCGCCATCGCGTCCAAGAGGAGTTTTACCCCGAAATCCCCCATTCTCCGCTCCAGACCGCCTGCACAAAGCAAAGCATCCATCCTCCACTGTGGATCCAGCCGCGCCACTCTGAGTTTCTTGGAGATCGTACAGAGCATGCGCGAGATGAACCAGAGTTTCCGCGGATCAATAAAAATAATTAAAAAATCATTCTTTTTTTTTTTTTTTAATCAAGGCCTTAATTGGCACTAAAATTATTTAAATATGTTTATCGAAGTATTTATAATTCTTTAATAAAAAATGCTTATAAAAACAATTTCGTCAGATATATTATATCGCTCCAGGCGGAGAAAAAGCTAGAGGATATATATATACGTATATGTGTGTGTGTGTGTGTTTACATACATACAGGAGTCATGGAACTCTGCTTACAGCTCCTTCATATTTCATGTACATTAATAACTTGTGTACATGGTTCTTGTTGATGGCATTACAATCATTTCTAATAGCATTTAAATAGCATTAAATTAGAGTCACTCATTCCTGTATGAACCCTGTGAGCGCTTAATTTAATATGACATATT